GGGAAATTATGACCCTATATAGTGTATTTCATTGATGGATTCTTTAGCTAACTATCGCCAAAAATCTTTGCTTTACATCTATAATTGTGGGTGATAATGAATGATAATAAGATGGGTTTTTTTTCTTTTGTATTAAGATTTAGTAGGATTGTGGCATGTGTCAGTCAAAAATGACAAAATGTAATATAAACACTACTGAATGCCCCAATGTATGGGAAAATATTAACAGTGCCATATATGTCATTTATTGAATTGCAAGGTTAGAAGAATCGTTAACTATTTATTTACTAGACACCCTGCAATAATATGAGGGTCGTAATAGAGGTACCTTCAAGGCGAATAACGTTATAAATCTTGTCAAGTAACGTTTAGGGAAATTGTGTATGTGTTTCGATGTTAACGATACTTTTTCGGACGTGGCAATTAATTTGATAGAAACAATGAACCATCGGACCAATTTGGTCCGGATAGGAAACCAACAGATACCTGTTAAGAAAGAATATTACAAGTTTGTTCTGCTAAATACTAACTAGAGAAGATATATTCATCATTTGGATATTTAATCGTAAAGATGACTAACCGACCTCTTTTTTTATTGTATTGTCGCGCCAAATTCCTGAAATGTACCCCACCGATGACGTTTCAAGTTTAAAGTACTCTTAGAAAAAATAACTTTCCCACAATCTTTGTATTGTCCCGCGATTTAACCAAGGTCCCATTAAATAAAACTTTTTCAGTTTGCATTGATTTGAGATTCGGATCAATAATTATCCATGTGGTTTGATAATATTCGTATTAAAACAAAAGAATTTAAATAAACAGCAATGGATAAATTTTTATTTGATAACGGATAATCAAAGAAATATGAAAATTTGTCATCGATTTATAAATGGTTTGTCATGATTTAAATTCAAAATTGGGTTGACAGACATCCATGTACTTTAAAAATACCATGAGAGCTTAAAACTAAACAAATGAAAATAAGGTTATACTTGTAAGACGCAACTTCAATTATTTATATTTCAAATAAAGGCAAACACAATTCTTTGGGGGCAATGAAACCCCATAAGTCGACAAAAAAAGACACTACTATGACCGAAGAAAAACGATTGACAAAATGACAAGTAAAGGATTTAGAAACACCATCTTTACAAAGTAATGGGATTGAACTAAGTGTAAGTTGTTCTTGCTCAACTAGCGGAAACCATCGTGTTGTTCATATAAATGGTCTAGCCTTATATTAATGTGACAGTATATTAACGATGTTCAAATTTCGTAAATCAATTAGGATGAAAGAGACAAATCAAAATAACACACAAAAATAGGAAACTCAAAAAAGAGCGAAAAACGTTGCCTGCTTTTCATGCATCACCCGCCATAAGAATTCACACTCTTTTAAAGTGTCACCATCGGGAATAGGCCACGATCTGTAAAATCATAGGTCATATCTTAAGATCTAAGACCGAGAAAACATGTCGCTAGATAGTTGAGCCACTTACATATTTTATTTTTGTCAACATATTTTTGATGGAAATCGTAAAACTTAGATAGTGTCGATTTCAATCGTTCTTTCCTAATACTCTACTGGAACCATATTTGTTTATGGAGTACACTCTTATTAATGGAGACATCTTTACTAAACAAATACATGTGTATAGATTACACGAATCGATAATGTCGAATCGACAATGTTCTTATTACTGTTTGCATCACAATTTAATTTCAGGTCCCTTCGCGGTCCGAATTCAATTGCAGGATAAAACAATGTAGAAAAATATAAAATTTATTTGTACTCGCTACGAAACAAGATAAAGCTCGGCGAGCCTCTTTCTTCTCTCTGTTCGTCAAATACATTTTATTGTACAAATATTGTATATAACTCAGATATGAAAACGCCATTCGTTTGGAGCATACGGCATTAAACTGCTGAGAAATAGAAATATTGAAGTCATCAAGTTTGTCATAGATTATTGTTTAAAGTTGTCTTAAACGTCTTTATGATTACAACAAGTTCTTTGTTTCGCTGATTTCATGTCGTCCCTAGCTTCTTACATAATATGAGCTACACTGATCAATTTGATGTTGACGGTACCCGAACATTTCAATTTGATGCTTGACTGTCAATGGCATTTCTACCCTCTTATATTTTATCTTTTCAAAATATATATATATATATGTATATATTTTATTGCTATTTACAACGCTAAAATAAGAGTAATTTTGATACAGGAATTTCAGCATTTGTATCTGTAAGGAAACCGTCATATCGTGTTTTTGATTTGATGAACAATTAGAAATAAGGGCAGGTTGTGTATAAAAAACAAAGTATTCTAACATGACGTGATGTTTCTCCTTGTATACAACAGCGTGATAATCTTCTCGATATATCTATATTCAGCGCAGACTTACAGATATACATAATTATAGGTTTTACAGTTTAGCTCCCACATTAATCCACATGTACCGTAACCTATATGCAAATACTGTCACCGTGTCGATTTCGCCATGTTAAAATTGCAATTGAAAAAAGTACAGAACTGTTATTCCTTTTCTAGTGCATAACAAAAAGCTTAATACCTCAGGCTTGTAAAGAGGTATAAAATTAAAATAAACTATATTAAAATACAATTCAGCGGAAATCCATGAAATATCTTACCGCATTAATGTTATATCAAAAACATGACGTCATACGAATGAAAACTTTTAAACCGAGGGTTATTCCATTACCTGTACGTTCCTTATTCAGATTATATCTCATTAAAATTAAGTTTTATGGTAGGTGTTGTTTCCTTTGCTATGCTTTCGCATTATTATACCCCTGCTTTAAAAAAATTAAAAATTGCTAATTTTTTGGTTGAATATTATAAGAATGAAACACATTTTGTCGAGATGGTATTTAAAAAATAATAAATGCAACCATAGATTTATAGGAAAAATTTAGCTCTATCTTACAGGATTAAAATAGCAGCCACACATTCCATACACTAAATATCGATATCAGAAGTAAAGTACCTTTAACTTGCTTTCCTTAGCCGTTACAAAAACTATACGAATTGATAAGAAATTATTTATAACTTTATAAAAATAAGAAATGTGGTAGGATTGCCAATGAGAAAAACTATCTACCAAACTCCAAATGAAGTGGATGTAAGTAATTGTAGGCATTTTGTTTTTGTATACGTGTTTTCAACAATGCCTGTGTTACAGTCCTTGTTTGAACCTATTTCAGTGTTTGTTCTTGAAGAAATTACTTTTTGTCATAGATTTCTGTTGAATTCATTCACGAGTTCTCTCCACTAGGGCGATTGTCTTTTGTGAAAGACCACATTCTTACCTTTAAATGTCTATGTATGTGTGACAGAGAGTGTATGTGTGTCGTTAGAACATGTCTCATTGGCGTATATTCTAAAACTCTTCTTACTCATACTTCAAACAAAACATTTTAGATTTACCAGGATGTGGCGGACTGGACAGTTGCTTTAAAACATGTAACCAGCCGTCAGCTTACATTTATACACCAGGATTTCCTATATCATATCAACCAGGTGAGGCCTGCTTCTGGAAGATCGAAGGCGTATATGGTCAATTTGTAAAACTCACTATTATCAACATAGATATAAAAGATGACTCATCATGTGAAAAATCCTTCATTTCTGTGTATGATATAGACCTACAAGGACAAGCAAAACACTTAGGAAAATTTTGTAAAGACAATCGTCCATACGAAACATTTATATCAAGTTGGGAAAGACTTCAAATTGAATTCAAAGCTGCGAGTGACATACCGGGAAGTGGTGGATTTCTTGGAAAATATTTTATGGAAACTTTTATACAGGAATCATTCGATTCATCAAATGACAGTAAGGAAATTTTTTTTTTCGTCTTAATACAGAATCTTGTAGTTAAAATAAATGTTTCAAGTTATTATCATTTTTTGCACTTGTTTTTTCATTGACTTGGGTAAGTTTTGTATGATTAAAACAACATGCATAAAAAACATAAGGTTTTGAACGCCACTGATAAGTCTAATATACAAGAAACGCACGTATGGCGTACCAATATACAAGCTTAGTATCTGATACTATTAGTTACATAGTGTGCTAGTGACATAATACGGTATATATGGGGTCAGTAAATTCCATATGGGGTGAGAGCGAAGCTCGAATCCCCATATGGAATTTACTGACCCCATATATACCGTATTACGTCACTAGCACACTATGTAACGAATTTATCTTACCGACTATCTTAACGTGTGATATTTAGACAAAGTCTAGTGAACTATCAAAATGAGCAAGTCTACAATACCTTTAGCATTAAGAAACGTCTTCCATTGATGATACAAAAACAGATACCAACAATAACAACTTAATAATAATGTAGCTTTAAATATGTTTTATGAATTTATTTCAATCTTCATCATCAATTTCTTTGTCTTTTGAAACCTTAAAGATTTTTTCTCAGTACTGTTTTGTTTTTATAAAGGGACGTAACACCACTACTAACCGTGTATTGAAATAAGCCCCGCCTCCCTTCTAACCTAATATGGAATATACACGGTCTCCACGCGGACGCTTTTAACCAATCAAATTCCTAGAAATGTATAGGAGGTAAGATAATAGCTTTTATATACATAAATCTTATGAATATATATACCTTTTTACACTGAAACAGTCAGCAGAAAAAACATGTAAACAACTTAAAAACTTATATTTAATATGTTATATAGTGTTTTATAAATCAATATAATATTGATAGGTTGTCCAGATAACTGGCGTGCATTTAGGAACAGTTGTTATAGTTTACAGAAGAAGAAAATTGGCATTACATGGATTGAAGCCGAAAACGAGTGCAAAATTAACAACGGTCATCTTGTGAGCATAGCTGACATTTCGGAAATGAAATTTATTCATTACCTCATTACCGTTTTCAAAGATAATCTAGAAGGTGATCGTGCATATATAGGCAAGTAATACCTTCTAATATATGAATATAAATATATGTCTTAAAATGTACAACACTTACTAAGTAAAAATATAAAAACAATTAAAATTGCGATCAGCAGTGACAATTCAGATTTACAAATATCCTCCTTCAGTACCTATAGGCTGATGGAAAATGGCCTGCATCCATAAGGGAAAGTGCCAATAGGCTGATGGGAAAAGCCTGCATCCATAAGAGAACCAATTGATATGATTAAACATGTTCTAACTTCAAATAAGTTCTAACATTGATTTGCTTTGCATTATAGTCATTGATTTATTGTCATTTTTCTGCTGTTGACATAACATTTAACTATCACAACATTTTATCTAAAACTACTGTTAGAACAATACAGACTTGAATACATGTACAATGTATGTGGCAAACATCCGAAAAATAACACGAACATGAATATGCTTATCAATCTATGACAGCCTAAATATCGACAATAATTTTAAATAAAATAAGACTAGAACTTTTGTATGATTTCAAAAGGGACAACGTAACACCAACGACTAACTCCATTTTAAAATATGTGTGAAACAGTTAAAATGTTTCGTCAATATTTTATAATAAAGCTTAAACATTTTTGGGAATTAAATGAAGTAAACAAATTATAACAAATTGTTTACGTTTACTTCTCGTATTAATGTATTCATAATTATACATATTAATGTTATCAACATATTCACAACGAAGGCTTGAAGAAGAAGACTAAGGGGTATACTATGAGAGACTATATTTGGTCTGATGGAAAACCTTTGACCTTCACTGCATGGTAAGATTAATTACCCTTTAAAATAATATATTTGCATCGTATAACGGTATAACAGGGTTTGTCCAGTTTAACAGAAGTCCTCTATAATGTCAAGCAACATCTACAATAAACTTACATCCACTTCATTTGAACTTTGGTGAATAGTTGTCTCATTGGCGATCTTACCACATCTCCTTATTTTCGTATTGACCAGTGTTCTCAAGTAAACACATCACACTAGAATAACTGCTAAATCAGGATCAGGATCTGCATACCCTTCTAGAGCACTGAGATCACCCACGGTTTTTGGTGGGGTTTGTGCTGCTAAGTTTTCATTTTTCTGTGAAGTGCTTTATAGACTTTTTTGTCTTTTCGTGGTTTTCGTTATTTGCCGTTGCGGTGTCGGTTTTTCTTCGACCTATAATGTTAATTTTTCCCTCTTGTTCATTCCACCTATTTTTTTACTTCTATATGTCTTTAAATCCCAAGTTTTGTCTATTCTATTGTGTACAGAAATGCAGAATACTAAATACATTGCAAGAATTTTCGTTTTTAGTGCATATTGTTTATTGTTTCTTAATGCTTTTTGTATTTCACTTTCTTAACTTGCTCTCTGGTGTACTTAAGATCATACCATACCCAAATGTTGTTCATGTGGTTGTATTTGTATCAATACCACAAAAAAAGTATATCACGAATATTACTGTTTTAACATATCACGATGTGTCTGATTGAAATTAAATTATTATGTTTTCAAAACTATAAAAGTGTGTATGTGTTTTTATCTTTCAATGCATAATATGTAAATGGATTCTTGTTTTGGTAATGAAATAGTTCTTTTTTTGTCAACAGGTTTTTTGATAAAAGTACAGGATTTGCACAACCAGATGGCTTAGAGAATGAACAATGCTCAATAATTCAGCTGTTCAGTATACACAATATAAATGCGTGGCACGACGTTGCTTGCGCTTACAACAAAATATCAAACTTCATTTGTGAGACAGGATTTGATTCAAATGTAAATGGTAAGGCATTGGTAGTTTTGTAGTTACTCAGATCTTTACTTTTACAAATAAATAATTGTTTTCAAAACTGTGCATTTTCCAAAATTTAACTTATAAAATGTAAACTTATTGAAAGCATAGTTTTACATATATTTTTCCATCTTTTATTTGAAATGTCCGATTTACATTTTCTTTATGATGCATCCTCTAACAACCTCTTGCAAACTAAATACTTTTGAAAAGTCTGTTTAATTTTATCTGACGCCTAGACAATTACATGATTTGTTATAATGGAGTCTTCGACAGAACTTTTTTGTCTTGTTAAACTCTCGTTGTGTGGTTCAACTGATATCCATTAATTACACTTTTTTGCATTCGATCAAGAAGTGTTGTTCTCTATCCTCCAATTTACTAATTATCAATTACCCTCACTACACGATGTTTACCCCAAAGGCTAGAAGGTTTTTATTGTCATTAATTAATCACGAACAACATGGATATTGCCTCTAATTTTTAAACATTAAATATATTATCAAACAATTATCTGTTATTCTATATATAGTGATTATGTTTACATTTAAACATTATTACACATGTTGATTTTTCCTTTTTGTGATAAAATGCAGATAATATTCGAAACTCAATAAATCCAATGACAGCACAACCCGAAGAGATCCTGTATCTATGTGGCTCTGGTGAATATATTCTTAATATATTTATATGTGATTCGGTGATAGATTGCATTTCTGGTGATGATGAACATAACTGTTGTAAGTATTATATTTATATCAATGTTCTTTTTTGTCTATACATTGTATGTGCATTGTTTTGTGCACGTAATAATTCTGACAAATCTTAAAGAATTCCCTGCTGCCTAGATTTGACGAATAGTCGCTAAATTGACGAATAGGTTTACATTTCAGCCCTTGGAATGATATGTATGTAGCAGTAAAAAGCAATATTTCGAATCAAGATGGCGTCATGCATTCCAAAAATTTGTGATTGATCTATAATTATAAAAAGATACGATTTTGTTCCAATCCTGTTTCGTATATAACTTGTAGTGTCACACGCGAAATAAAACTATTAATACCTTAATTTTAATTCAGTTTTTTTTTCTGATTTTGTTAATATTAGTATTTTCATTACTTCGGCTATCACTTAAAACAATTGTTTACTGTTTACAAGATTTTAAGAAAAAATTATATAAAAGCGAGGTAACATTACTTATGTATGGAATTAACTTGAATAAACTTTTACGGATGACTTCACGTCATGCTAGAATAGCACTGGTATCTTCTTTTTAACAGAAAAAACATTATTACGAGTGTTCAGTGTTAGCTCTGAAAATATGCTTGTAGAAAGTAACTGTGTGAATAAAAGTAACATGAAAAAAACGTTTTATGCAACATATAACTTCAAATTCAAGTCAGATGAATGTTTAACAATCTGTAATTTAATTTTTCCTAAAGAATAGTGCAGAATAATGATGAATTCTAAAAAATAACAATAAATTTGTTGCATAGATTTATGTACGTATCGTATGTTTAATGAATTGTCAATTTTATAGACAAGAATCTATATTAATTTATCTACAATTGACTGCATGCTGTTTTGCAATGTATTCAAGCATTTTCCTGTTCCCATGACCAGTTTACATGTGGTGATGGAAGCTGTATATCGATAAGTTTACATTGTGATTTTATTCAACATTGCAAGGATGGATCGGATGAAGCATTTTGTGGTAGGACAATTATTTGTGAAGCAAGTGTCAAATCAATCATAATATTATGTATGTTTCAGACGTTTCCGTTCACCGACGTTCACAATACTTGTATAATTGAATCTAATATGTTTGTATTATTCTTCATTAGTTATAGTTAATGTAAGTGGTTATGATCCTGCAGCTATCACTGGAAACTTTTATCACTTTTGATAATATTCAGGAATATTTCACCTTTATATTGTTTCATAATGATTTGCGAGGTGGTAAGTATTCCTTTGCAAAATCTTCATGAGCAAATGAATTTATATGATAAGCCTTTTAAATGTATTTAGATTTGCAGAATCTACTGTATATGACTCTGCCTAAAATGTGATGATTACACTCCAAAACTATTCCAAAATACTTATTCCTCGATACGGATGTTCGCTACGCTTCTTTTTTTACTTTTTGTCAAATATTTGGAATCCTCTAATTATTTTAATTTTAATATTAATTTGCCGCTGGATGTTAAGCAACCATCAATCATCGTCATCATCTAATTTCATTCATGTGGTGCCATTAGAAAATTGCCTGCTAGCCCCTACTTTCTCTTTTCATAATTTTATATTATATAGTTTAGGAAGCTATGTTTGAAAATCTTAAGGAAGAGTTGTTATTTTTCAAAGTTTTGGAAGAAATAAGGTGCCAATGTTAAATTTATGACAAATCAAGAAATATCATTTCCTGCCAAATTTTCAATAGCTTATGTCTCAAAAACAAGACCTTGCATTTTTTCTTGTTTTTTTGATTATTTTTGTTTTGGTTTTTTTTTCTATATTTTGTTCATTTACATGTCTACCATAAATTTATAACAGTCTTTTAAAAAGATTGTTATTTTGAAACAGAGTAACGAGCATCCCTTATTCTCTACGTATCCTGTCATTTTGAAGTTCGTATGATACATTCCGTTTTTGTTTTAATCTTGACATATCTTAATGGATTTATGAGGTTTGAACATTTGATAAACTACTTGTTGCCTTTAATTGAAATTGCATTAATGTAAAACAATGCTTCTTTTGAAATATTAGAAAGACGATCATGTTCCTCTAATGAGTGGCAGTGTAAAAATATGCAATGTATTCCTGTTCACCAAAGATGTGATTTTGAACATAATTGCTATGACAAATCTGATGAGATTAGGTGTGGTAGGTACACACATACATATATACATATGATCTATTAAAAAACATTTTGTTAAAGATAATCATCAAATGAATGTAGTCTTTTCTGTATATTTTGTACTTTGGAAAGCAAATTCTAATGATTAAAATAAATCCTTAAAATAAGTATATTACATTAAATGATGCCAGTGACATGTATGTTATGCATTTTGTCAATATCCTTATGTCTTATATCACTCTTAAAATAAAGATTCTCAGGAGCTTGAAATGCAGAGCTATCAATCCACAGTTAAGGGGACTACTGATGTATCATTAAAGTTATAAATCCAATCAGGTATCGTTTTGTTTACCGTGATTTGGTTTTAAAGAACAATTTGACCTGTGATAACTGCAATTTTTAATTTTTGATCGGCATTATTGTAAAAAACATTTATCAGCGACATCCAAAGTAAAAATAAATGTACGTCGTCTTTATTTTAGTTCATTTACTTTTTTCATTACAACATCCTATAGCAATGTATAGTTTAGATCAATTAAATAACAACAAAGGTCACAATACTTGCAATATTCCTTGTTATAAGGTTAAATAGATATGAGAAGATGTGGTATGAGTGCCAATGAGACAACTGTCCATCCAAGTCACAACTTGTAAAAGTAAACCATTATAGGTCAAAGTACGGCCTTCAACACGGAGCCTTGGCTCACTACGAACAGCAAGCCCCAAAAATTACTAGTGTAAAACCATTTTAACAGGAAAAGCAACGGTCTAATCTATATAAAAAACGAGAAACGACAAACAATTATGAACCACATCAACAAACGGCAACCACTGAACATCAGGTTCCTCGGAGTTCAGTATTTTTGTGATTTTACTTTTTCCTGACTTAGGACAGGTGAAAACAAATGCAGCGGTTTTGAACGTTTTATCTGGCGCCAACTTTCATCCTAACCTGCGACAGCGGTGTAACAATACGACATAAAAAGACACACTATAAAACATTAACTGAAAAAAGACTCAACTCATCAAAGTATGAATACGCACAGATTTTAGACAAAAGTTAGACCATGAAAACCAAATTACCAAATAGTTAGATTATGAACCACAGAAAAATATATCAAAACCAAAACCAGTATGAAATAATTTTGCCAAACAACCGGTCACTTATGGACCACTCAAAAAGAGCTTGTTGAGAAGGATCTTTAACGTGCAAAGAGCGTGGTATTCCCTGAACACGGGACCGCGAATTTAACGTCCCCATCCGACGGACATTTGTCAAATTATGTTTAATTGTATTTCTTTAATCAATTAAGACATTTTTTATAATGCATGTGAAGTTGCATTAGCTACAAAACATTAAGTTAATTAATAGTTGAGTCTGCTTTGTTCAACTTTGTTATAGTTGGCTAACAAACAGGACAATCCCCCTAAATGCCAGAAGTAATTCTTCATTCTATTCAATTTTGAAAGAGAACAATATCTGAATATCCAGCAAAGAATGAGCTTATTTTTTAAAACAAACAAAGATAGGTTAGGTTTAATTAGGTTGGAGAGTGACCCGACGTTTCATTATGCATCGATCATGGTACATATTTGAAGGTTGTAGGCTCTATTACAATGGTTATTAAAATATTATTGTTTACACAGGTATCCAAGGTGCGCATTTGTTAAATCAAGTTGAAATAATGTCTCGCAGTTTTGTATAACTACCAGAACATCCTCTCCCCTTTTGCTGACTATCCATATCCAGGTAGTCAATACTTTCGATTAGAATATTACCTTGATTGTATCAAATTGGTGAATTTGTTGAATCATAATGTTATCCTCATGATGCAAGTAAATGAAGATGTATATATGAACACAACGAAACATCCAAAGCTTTCGTTCTGCTATAAACAAGTCAAACCTTGCAATTGAACTGATTGTATGTAAATGGAACGTTTCATTATAGAAGGTAAAAATTTATTGCGTGGATTGTTCCCAGTTTCTATAAACATTTTGAGTTTAATGCAGCTGTACAATAAAAGATGTTTTACATATTATATCCTTATTTATATACAAATTATAGTAAGTAGCTAAAATATATGATGCATGTTTTAATTAAAGATAAATAGTCACAAAATAAATGATTTTTGGTGTTAAATGCAAATACTTCTGGATCTTGAAAAGGAGTGACCAAAGATACCATTGCGTTACTCCAACTTAGAAGTCGAAAACAAACTGAAAATGGCAAAACATGCAAAATTATCAAAAACAAATAACAGTTAACAACACACAACATAGAAAACTAAGGACTGAGCAACACGAACCCAACGAAACACAGTGGAAACTTAAGTACTTGGTAGGTCACATTAGGGGAGAAGAGGACAGGATTGTGGTTACGATCATTGAAACATATCTGTCGACATCTTTGAAACAGATTTTCCATAACTTACAACCAACTCGTGATGGCGTCCAGGAAGTTTTTAAAGGGATGATTTCAACTTCATCACTTGGAACTCCTGAAAATGATAAAAAGTCTTATCGCGAAGAGAAAGACGCGTACAATTTTTACTTTCGATCATGTTTGAGTCCACTTTTTTGTCCTTAAAATGCATAAAACAAATCATATGTCATATGGTTTCAAATTTAATTACTTTTGTATAATTCTATCAATGACATTCCCATTACATTTCGGTCAAGCAGCCTTGACAATAGACTTTACATTAGAATCTTGAAAATGCTTAACGTCAGAAAAATGTTTTTTGTATTTTATCTGTGGGAAATCTAAATGTTTCTGGTCTGCTTTTCACTAACTATATTGATAGAATTGTTTGAGTGTTTATTTTTTAAAATTCTTTCTGACAATCAAACTTTCAATGGTTCTAATTCGTAATAAGACATTAAAAATATTTCAAATTGTGTTAATAAGTCAGAAGAAACATTTTTCTTTCCAAATACACCTTTCAAGTAGGGGATCGTAATGATGCAATGTGAAAACAATTAACGGACACCGGGGGATGTAATAACAACTCGTCATTTCTACAATGTCTTCCGATTGCGTAAGTGAAAACAATATAAGTATAATGGAGAGACAATTTCGGTCAAGTAGAAATCATCCTCTCTGGATTCACCTTTAGCAAAAGCATATATGAAAACAGTTCAACAAAAACTTATCTTTGTTGTCTTCTTAAGATTAAAGGTCACTTGAATTTTAATTTTAGATATGTCCGTGTTGCTCTCTGTAGTGTCGAGATTGTTGTTTGCCTTTGAATATGTTTTTCGTTTTGACCACGTTGTTATCTTTTTTTTTTCTTCTTCGGCTAAGGTTTGTTTTATCCCCATATTATTTTTTGCATCTCTTGAAAGTCAATAATGGATTCTTTTTTTCCGAGTTCCTAGTGCAATATAAATGATCCTTATGAAATGAAGCTATTAATAAGTTTAAAAAGATATATGTTCAGATCGGTGCAATAATGCACTGGTTGTATGTTATTGGTATATTTAAAGACATAGATACACGGTTTTGGTTAAACTAGATTTGTTTTTGTCAATTTTTTAGGCATTCTAGAGCATTAAAAACCTATGAATTTTTTTATAATTCTAGTGTAGATTTTAGTCGATTGTCTTGTTTGTTTGTTTAAACACAGTTATTGTTGTTTTTTTCAAATCCTTGTCATGATATATTATTTCGTAATCATTTATACTTATATTTTAGAAATTTGTGGAGCGGACAGTTTCCAATGCTACGACCAGACCTGTATCCCCTTTTCAAGAGTTTGTGATGGAGTAATCGACTGTAGCGGGCTTTTCCATGAAGATGAATCTGAAGATTGTCTAAAGAAAACACAACACACTTGCAAAGATTGGTTTGCTATTGGTTCAACGGAAAACGGAGTATATCTTATTGATTTATATCTAAACGGTAATACTGTAAAGTTATCGTTATCATATTTTCTTAATATCACGTTCACCAAACTGAATTCAAGATACACATTGTGTACTGAAAGGAAAAACGTGACAAATAAAACTATGCACTTCGACAACAAATGAGATTATTAAATATATGACTGTAAATGGTATATGTACTGATGTCTGTGTGTTGACACTTAATTTTAAACAATTCTTTATTTGGACATTCGAGCCCAAAGGTTAAGAAAGCAAAACATAACATATATTTAAGTATATAGAAACAAAATACGAATAAATAGAGCGAACAAAACCATTAAAAGTTCACTTTACATAAGGGAATTGCAATCTCAGTTTTAATACAGAAACGCAATTTATTATCTGGAACTTTACACACAAAGCATATTATTCAATCATGACAATACGAAAGCTTTTGTTAAAGGGCTGAGGGTATCCTTTGGGATTTGAAGTTAACCATAATATCCAAGTGGTTGTACAACACGGATTAAACTGGTTTCCTATTTTCAGATAGCCTGTGCTGGATAGTATTTTGTTTTATATTCAAAAACGTAAAATGTTAGATATCAAATACGAGTATCATGAATTCAAAATAAATGCATATAATCAAGATGTCAACGTGTCTTTGTAAATGATTTCATTGAAAACAAATTAATTAAAACAACAATTTTTACAATTTATAAGTATTTTTATATATCTTTCAAATTTCTTTCATTCGTTTTTTTACAAATCTATTATTTTAGATAGTGCATCGGTAGAATGCATATTTGATGAATGGGAACTCTATACTCAAATAACAACGATTGTCCACCATAATAACGAGGAAACAGTTACAGCCACCATAGATGGATTCGATATAACACCGGTCTATTACGCAAGTGACGAGCATATTGAAGTTCTAAAGGAAATTGGCAAATGCAGCCAAGCAATTGGCGTTTATTGCCATTACTCAGAAAATCGGGTGTATAGATCATCACTATACGGGGGCGTCATTGACAACAAAACGCCCAAGAATGATTGCGGGTGTCCATTTGTTGGAAATTGTGATTCAGGCATTAAAAGGTATTTTCTTGTTGCTTTACAATATCAAGATGTACTAACATCATTCATTGAGGTATCTGCCTCTTCAAATTATTTTGTTACATTTTAAATGCATTGGATACATTGTGTGATTACGTCTTTTCATACAAGAAAATGAGTTTTATTTTTTTTAACGAGACGTTGTTTTTTTCCTCTATTATATTCCCTGGAATATCAATGCATACCAGTAGTAGATCAACACATCTGATCTATATAGATCCCAATGACCAAAGTCCTCTTTTTTTCTTTTTCTATGCCCCCACCGCTGGGGAAGGTGGCATTTTGTGTTAGCCTGGACCGTCCGTCCTTTCGTCCTTTCGTCTTTCCGTCCGTCCCATTTTCGTCGTTAAGCTTGAGTGGGGGCATTTGTGTCCTCAGACACATTCTTCTTTTATTTATTCACAGGTTTCGATCTTAAATCTGCTGTCATGGAAAAGAGAGTGTAAGGTATATTTTCTGTAAATAAGGACAAACACTTATTTGATATCATGACTGCAGCAAATAAACGAATGTTTTATGATCCTCGACTATTAATTGTGTCCCTGTTGTAAGTATTCGGCATTGAAAGACGAAAATATCAAATATACCGGTATCTTGTTTTCATTTATATATAAGTTACTTTTATGTATTTAACATTTTTTTATGTAGGTGTAACTGTGGAAATGAGCCATATGACTGGTACACAGCTGATAACAATGAAATAAGATCAGACATCGGAGTTATATACAATGAAACACAGCTACCTGTAAAATATACCTATACAAATCCATCTAGCACTTACGTTAAATTGCGTCTTGGACCTTTACAATGCATCGAAGGTATTTAAGATGGATTTGGCTATCATTTTTTATCCTTTTTTTGTCATATAGCTCTACAATTGTTCGGTTCTTATACATCCTTGTCTTTCAAATATTTGGCTTTAAGCGTTCCTGATAAAGGTTAATCTAGAAAAGCGCTTCGGACGAAAGAAATTTATAAAGTGATGTTTTCATCTTGTATAACATTAGTATACTTATATTGTTGTAACTGCCGTATGAAGAGCACATTATTTAATTAGTTCTAGCATAGATAAATTACTATGTGAACTACTCATATCTCTTATCTTATATTTCATTATTCATGTTTTTGTTTTGCATCTACCCATGTACTGACATTATTTTTGAAAACGCTTGAGGTATTAAGACCATTTATTTACATTTATTTGAAATTAATGATGAATTCGATAATCCGTCATTGTCTCATTCTACATGTATCACAAAACAAAAGGTAATGTTGTTTATATGCATTTTCTATTTTCAATAAATGTTCATAGTAATAAATCGCAGCTTCCATTTGTTAATTGCAGATGTTCAAATATCGTCGAACATATTTCGCTGTAGCGGAGGGCATACTGTATCATCAGATGTTTTGTGTATACTAGATTATGACGAAAAGAATGAAATTCTTGGTTGCAGAGACTTGTCACATCTATCAAACTGTGGTAATAATACTGTACGGTGTGTATATTAACACACGATTCATAACATACCTATCTAAATTTCTCCATTGAAACTATCAAGAAACTAAGGTTCCAACATCCCGAGGCAAAGTTGGCAAATGGACATTCTCATTCAAGCATTGATATGATAATAAGAGGGTTTGGATTTCAATTTACATCTTCCACAATAGGCATTAAAATTCAAACTGTTTTCCATTGTCAACCTCTACAAATGCCTTTGAATAATATGTATGTGGCAATCAATTAATTGTATACCCATCTTGTCAATGTCATCAACAAATTATAATGAATGGGTGCCTGCGAGATAGCCTTATCATCAAAAGTACTATAAGAAATCAAACATTCGCAGTGCATTTGTACTTTGACATGATGACATTATATTGTACACCTTCCACTTTTTTCATTTGTAGTTTATCGTTTTTTATTTAGATACATTTTAAATACTGAAACAACTCGCAACAAATGTTTATTAAATTAAACTTATTTTATTTTATTTCTATTTACACGCACGTTTACAATCAATTGTAAATTAGAATTATATGGAAATAAAATAATGTGTAGTCCCATATATCAAGACGTTTGATCGATGTTTTATACATTTTAGAAAAGTTCCATTGTCATCCAGGATATCTCAAGTGCCAAGATAGTTATTGTATTCCACCAAAACTCATGTGTAATGGAGTTCATGATTGTCCAGCAGGAGAAGACGAGAGCTATTGTGGTGAGTAAAATGTCATGTGTTTTCTCATTGTTGTTATGATCGACCAAATGTGGTTTTTTACTTGTTTTACTGAAAATGTTTCTATAAATTACCTAGTAAATTGTATTTTTACTCTAATTTCATAAACCAAGAAATTTACCTGTAAATATATAATGAGAACGCAAAGGCTTAAGATATAAAATAAAAAAAAATCATTTTCATATTGATTGCTTTACTTAGCCTAAAATTTTCAATAGTGTGGTAGTTTAATGGACGATAATATATACATGATCTATCTGGTCTCTCAATTATGTTTTCATATAGTTTCAAATTGTTTATGTCTTTTTGCGAATCAACGATGAAATGACATTCAACTATGTAAGAAATATATATTGTTATACATATCATTAAGTTAAGGAAAGCTGTTTTAAACAGATGATCCAAACAAGTTTTGAAAATATATAATATTGAAACATTGCATAGTTTTATGATAATTTTAATCTTAGCAAAATGTGCTGTTTTAATGTTTCCAATTTTATCAATTTAAAAGTCAGAGATTACCATCACCGTTCGTGTTCAGCGAATTCTGTAAATGATATATTCATTTTGATTTTAGGAAAACCTGAATGTGATGGACTTTTTCGATGCCATGAAAGTGACATATGTTTAAACCTAGACAAACGTTGTAATGGTTTTGCTGAATGTCCACAGTTTGATGATGAACTACTATGTGAGAAGAAATGCACATCAAATTGTAAATGTCATGGTTTGTCAAGTAAATGTGTGCTTGAAAACAGGTCAATAATTGAATTTCCTTCAGAAACTAGAAAAATTGACCTGAGTATGTCAAATTTATCAGATTCTGATATGATGTTGGAAAATAACTTTCTTCTAGCTGAACTGAATCTATCTTCAACCCGACTTCGTGATCTTGAACGCATCCATTTTGGAAAATTCCACTACAACCTGTATTTATTGGACGTATCACTCAATCAGATAACTACAATACCAAGACATACATTTGAAGGAATGGTACATCTGAAAATACTTCTGTTCGCAGGAAATTCATTACTTGAAATCTTCTATCCACAATCGTTTTCAGGATTACTTAGTGTATCTACGATGTCAATTGTAGAATCTAACATTTGGTTATTAAAAAGTAATAATTTTATGGGCGTTGAAAATTTAAAAGCACTTAACCTCTCACACAATAAAATTGAAAAGGTTGAAGATCGCACTTTTGAAGGTTTGAATCAATTGAAAAGTCTTGACATAAGAGGAAATCGTATGACTGAATTTCAGAAGGACATTTTTGAAGATCTTGCAAGTCTTGAAAAACTTTATTCCGACGCCTACGTGTTTTGTTGCCTAAAACCTAATTCTGTAAAGGAGGAGGATTGTATACCAGCAAGAGATGAGTTCTCATCGTGCTCCGATATGATGCGAAATGATATACTTAGAATCTGCTTATGGGTAATTGGATTATGTGCTCTGATAGGAAACTTGATTGTTCTTGTATACCGGGTTATTTATGACCGTGGTTCGTTATCAAAAAGCTATGGTATTTTCATAACAAGCCTAGGTACTTCAGATTTCTTGATGGGTGTTTATATGTTGACTATAGCATCTGCCGATGTAATGTTTCGAGGAAACTATGTTTGGAATGACCTATCATGGCGGTATGGAGTCCCTTGTAAAATAGCTGGAATTATATCAACAGTCTCCAGTGAGTGTTCGGTATGCTTTCTCTTCCTTATAACTATTGACCGATTTGTCGCAATCAAATATCCTTTTGGTGAAATAAGATTTGGAAAGAGATCAGCTGGGTGTATTTCATGTTCAGTTTTCCTAATATGCTTCATAATTGCAGTCGTACCAGTAGTTTTACCTGGCTCATACTTTGATGGAAATTTCTATTCAAGGTCAGCAGTTTGCCTTGCGTTGCCGCTCACCCGCGAGAAACCTAACGGCTGGGAGTATTCATTCGGAATCTTCATTGTGTTTAATTTTATCTTATTCTTGATCATAGCTGGAATGCAGCTTATCATTTATCGAGAAGTGACAAATACTATGAATAATGTTAGATCCACCAAGAAAAACCAAGACTTGACAATCGCAAGGAATCTCTTTATTGTTGTATTTAGTGACTTTTTATGTTGGTTTCCAGTTGGTGTTATGGGTAAGTAACTTTTCCCTTTCGTATTATTTATACATGTTATACTATGGTACGGTATAATGATAGAAATAATATTTTTGAATATTATTATAACTATTCTTATAAATATTATTATTATTATTTTGATTATCGTTATTGTTCACGGGTAAATAGATAATTCCAAATAATTTCCCTATTTGTATTAAAGTAACATATACAATAAACTTTTGTCAATTTGCACCCTTTTGTCTAATTTGTGGTTTCGAACTGTATATTTTTCAATTTTGTGAACTAAGATACAATTTCCATGTTTATTGTCGTCTAATTGAAGAATGAATTTTCAATTACAATATTATAAAAACATGATCTCATTAAGAATTTTTTCAAAGACAAGGAATTGTATGTTGCACATCAAGACGTAATTGAAATAGTTGATTATTTGTTATGTAGCCGATATTAGCTCCCAAACTGTTGATTGTGTAATATATTTATGCCAGCGTGTGCTTGTTGAATAGTAAGACGTTATTATATATCTTTGAATATTCTTTTCAAAGGTTTAATGGCATTAAATGGACATTCGATTCCTGCTGAGGTTTATGCATGGACTGCTGTATTCATTTTGCCAATTAATTCGGCTTTGAATCCGTTTCTGTATACGTTTTCGGCTATAATTCGAACTGTAAGTCGAAATAATATTATTTTAGACAGTATGATATTGTTGATGAATTGCTATCAACAATAGTTTTTTATTGATATTTACGTAGTTGAGTAAATTGTGTATTAACATGAGTAAAAAGAGACAAGGGTATAACTTAGTAAGACTTCAACCAAAGGTGTGCAAACAAAATAACCCAAACAAAAGAAATCTAGAGGTCTATATCTTATATGCAAATGTCTATACAATATGAAATGCATTAATTGATATGATTAGATATAAAAATAAATGCTCACTATATTTAACAGTCCAAGAGACAAAGTATTTGAAAGTTTAGATAATTTACTCATTATTGACATTTTTGGGGATGTTGCAGAAAAAAAAACCAGACAAACAATTTATTTTGCCTTTGAACAATTAGCTGTCGTAATCATGTCTAAATTTATGTCTTATCTTTTTTTTCCTGCTTTCTCCATTGTTTAAGTATCTAAAAATACGAGCATTTTAAACGCTCTCATTTGGTGTACGATACGATACAATACAAAGATTTTTTAGAGTTATTGCACTTTAATCTTCAAATACTCAGAAATTCGTAACAGTTGGATGTGCATCAGATCTTATACATTATGCTTTAGCGTGTAGTAAATATTTAACATTTTTTGTATGAGGTGCAAATGGTAATAGTTTGTTTAACTATTTAAAATATTTTTTGTGAAACTATTTAAAATATTTTTTGTGACAATACTCACCGGTAGTGTGCTTTTGAATGCAATGAAATTTAAAACAATAAAAATCATCAAGTAGATTTTATTTTTATACACCTTCATATTCCTTGTTTTAACTTATTTTTTAAGAATTCATTTGTATAGTTATTCATCAACACATGTTTTATACTGACTTGCATTCTATGAAATGTCTATTGGAATCGTTTTTTTCGAACCATTATATAAACAACATTATATATATCTTATGAATAGTTAATCTTTTGTTATCATGTTTTAGAGACGTGTTCAGAAAAGAGCGTCCAGTCACATGTGCCTGACTAAACAGATATCAATCGGTAATATCAGTTTTCTTTTCCTTTTATTCGAATAAAAACAGTCCTTGGTGCTGCGATTATGTAATTTGTTGATTTTCTCTCATCAGAAATCACCCAACGCAGCTTTAAAAAAAACGTGGACATTAAAAGTCTTTCACAATAAGGTCAAGTTTATAAATTAAGTATTTGCAACATTATGTCCTTGTGAAATGTGGTCTTTTTATGAGCTGGCAATATATGAAAATATTATTAAAGAACAATGACCAATACCAAAACAAATATTGCAGGCTAAAAAAATTACAATAATGACCAATGGTCACCCAACAATGGTGTCAGGCATTTGGAAGTAAATCGAAGTTAAATGTACTAAAATCTACTAAAATTATAATAGTGGATGCATTTTCATTCACATACAATACAAAAAACATTTTACCGGTTTTTTTTATTTTTCTAATTTTGGAATCTCTGGCCATGCATTATCATTTTGTGACCTGGATGGAGAGTTGTCTCATTTGCACTCATACCACATCTTCTTATTTATAATGAATTGCAACTTTTGGAATAGTTAAAAAAAACTGCTCTTATGTGTTCTACTTTCTCTTAAAGGGACATTTGTGAACATATTAACCTATTCAAGATCTATTCCTATTGTGTCCTAATTTTTATTCAAATCATAGAAGAAGACAAAACATATATTACTATAACCAGGAAATGAAATTGTAAAGTATGGTTCTTATCGTTTTTATGATTATTCATTATGATCATCCTATCCTATTTATCTTTTCTTTTTTTCATTTTATAAATAGTTTCGCAGGATAATACCAATGAGAAAAGAAAGAACTCGTTTGATAACATAACAAGTACAGAAGATCTTGTTGAAAAAATTATCGATGCTGTAGAACATTCCCTTCAAAATTCTACTTTGAATGCAGATGACATAGAAACAATCATATCGAAACTGAACAATGTCATGGAGCCAGTTACAAAGACATGACATGGTAATTTGATAGTATATTTTATAGTTGCATCTTAAAGGAAATGTTATTAAGACAAATAAAATATTGTTTAGAAGTAATATGCTGCTGAGTTGTTCATAACTAGCATTGGAACTCATATCTTTTCAGCTGATTGTCTGTTTATTTGTTTGTTGGGTATAATTGCATGGTGTTGTGTTTACTTCATTAATGGTATTAAGGCCAATATAATCCAACGACCATTGGCAAGTAGTTGACATCTGTATCACTTTCAGTGATTGTGTTCACGCTGTTATTTTGATACCAAATTTCCAGAACGGCGTTGTACGTGAAGAGTTGAAATTATTAAATCTGGTAGACACCCAACAACGTACTTGGCCTGTCATGTCATCGTATTCAATATTATCTAGTTTTTACCGGCAAAGCAAAGTATGTAAGTGGAATTGTAATGGGTTACTAAGCATTTTGTTTACATCTATTTGTCTATGCAAATATACTTGTCAACAAAATAACTATACACATGTTAGAACAATGTACCATAAAACAGAATAGAAAAGAGAAACCAACTCTGGGTTTTGATTTTTTTTTGTGGTAAAATTCATAAAATTTCGACTGCCAAAATGACTGAAATCTCTGCCTTTGTTAGTATTGAATGTTTATTTTTAATTTTGGTTCATTTATATGTTTCGGAGTTACGTTTGACGTCCATTTTCGCTGATCTAGTACACATTTTTGTTTATGGGCCACCATCGCTGTGTTGAAGACCCATTGGTGACCTTGGGTTGTTTTCTGCTCTTTGGTCGGGTTATTGTCTCTTTGACACATTCCCCGTTTCCATTCTCAATTTAATTTGAAAATCCATGTAAACAACATTCTGTAAATATAAAATCTAATATTTCATTTTTAAGCTTAATACCGTGTATTCAATTTTATTGTAAACCGACAATGCATTGCCTTGCATTGTTTCTTTTGTTGATTAGTATATTAATGAGTTATTTAAAAACAAAATTTGATCATAAGTTTAGTACGGATTAATATGCCATATCATATTGTCGTTCATGCTTGGATATCAAACTCAAATAATTATGCATGTTTTCCATAATGAACACTACCATAGGTGCAATACAGTTTTGGCTTATCAGTGTAAGATAGCTGTCTTATCATGATCATAGTATTATTGAACATGACAAAAAAAAAGAAAAATTACGAAAATACAAACAACAGTATACACAATACTACATAGAAACCTAAACACTGAGCAACAAAATAACTCTATAATATAATCTTTATTTTTAGCAGATCGAGGTATAATTGAAGACATAAGCAATTTAGAACAATACAGAGGAAAATATCGAGATCAGTTGACGATACAAAATATAATAAGATCTAAGTATATCCAATGTGTATATAGAGACGTGTTGTTGTTACCGACATCTTTCAGATTTCTTGAGAAACTTTCACATTTATGTTAATATTGATGAATTATGATTTTTTTTTTTCATTATTTATAATATATTACGTGTTATGTGTTTGCGGGTGTACGTGCGTTTTGTTTACCTGTGTAATATTTTGATTAAATTTCAATAGAATTATTCATCGAATGAATTAATTCAAAGCAATAACGATACCAATTTTACTGCACAAGATGCGCATTTCGACATACAAACGTTAAAAGTAATTTTATTGATTGTATCTTTTTCATTGGATTTCTTTTGCAAATATTTTTTCGTGCAACATGAAAGTTAGGAAAACTCCCCAACAATTAAATCAATTGAGTCCACACTTTATATAAACTATATTTTTATTTTTGGATTTTTTTTCTAAAGATACCAGGCTTATAATTTTCTGCTACAGACATGCGTTGTGTCTACAAAAGACTCATCAGTGATGCTCGAATAAAAAAAGTTTAATTTCACTGTTGTTCATCATAAAATGATACTTTTGCAAAGGAGGTACATGTAAATCTATTTCAAAAGTTTGTTTGAAGCTATTTTTAACGTATTAAAAAGAGAAATGATAACGTGTAATGTTAATTTTTGTATGCTTAAAACAAATCACTTCATATAAAAAACATTTATGCGATTTAATTGCAATTGCAAAATAATCTTGAACACTTATAGATATGTTGTCGCAAAATTATAGTTTTTTACAGATAATCTTAAAAGTTACTTGCTGTTTCATACTATACGTAACTTTGATCATTTGAGTAATATCTATTTGACGTTACACAGTTTCTAGTTTGTAGATAAATCATATGTTCTTAAAAGCAATTTTTTTTCATTATAACGTCAATATTCTGAAAACTTCTATGCTTTATTAATTCAATTTAATCATAATGCATATTTCTTAAGACTTCAATTCCTAGTTTAAAAAGGGTAAACGAGTTTGTAAGTAACATCCAAAGCTGACTTTTGTACATAAAAACTTCTCTTGATACATGAGAAATTGTTATCTTCTATTCATATTATTTATATAAGACTTCTGTACATGTTTGTTCATTTCAACGTCTGTATTAATTCTATTCCTGTAATTATATTTTGTTATTCAGTCGATTTGAAAACCTTACTAGAGCTTGTGTTATGTAGTTTATTGAATATCGACTTTAAATAAAACTTTGAATTGAATTGTCATATAAATGTTTGAATAAACACATATTTATGTTGTCATTTATTAAATCATCTGTAATCGTCCACATACAAAAAATAAAATGCTCCGCAGGGCGCAGCTTGATATGACCGCAGAGGTCGAACCCTGAACAGTTGGGGCAAGTATGGACACAACATTCAAGCTTGATACAGCTCTGAAGTTGGATTGTGATTAAATATTTGACACAGCATAGGTTTCTGACACAGAATGAATGTGGTCTAAGAACTTAAAAATTTTAAATTGGACATTCACCTATTATGGTCCAATATCCAAAATCTAAATACATGGTTAGATTCAGCATATCAAAGAACCCCAAGAATTCAATTTTTGATGAAATCAAACAAAGTTTAATTTTGGACCCTTTTGACCTCAATGTGGACAAAGTTGATAACGGGGCCCAAAAATCTAAATACATGGTTAGATTCAGCATATCAAAGAACCCCACATATTCAATTTTTGTTGAAATCAAACAAAGTTTAATTTTGGACCCCGATTTGGACCAACTTGAAAACTGGGCCCATAATCAAAAATCTAAATACATGTTTGGATTCAGCATATCAAAGAACACTAAAAATTCAATTTTTGTTAAAATCAAACTAAGTTTAATTTTGGACCCTTTGGACCTTAATGTAGACCAATTTGAAAACGGAACCAAAAATTAAGAATCTAAATACACGGTTAGATTTGGCATATCAAAGAACCCCAATAATTCAATTTTTGATGAAATCAAACAAAGTTAAATTTTGGACCCTTTGGACCTCAATGTGGACCAATTTAAAAACGGGTCCCAAAATCCAAAAACTTAATACACGGTTATATTCAGCATATTAAAGAACCCCAAGAATTCAAGAATAAAACCCCATTGAAATTGATCAAGAAATAAGCAATTTATAAGAAGTATCTTCTTTTGCACAATACTGTGCAATTGAATATTTCTTGCTATTGCGCAATACTGTACAATTGACAATGTCTTGCTATTGCGCAATATTGTGCTATTGGATATTTCTTGCTATTGCGCAATACTGTGCAATTGAAGATTTCTTGCTATTGCGCAATACTGTGCAATTGAAGATTTCTTGCTATTGTGCAATACTGTCCAATTGAAAATTTCTTGCTATTGCACAATACTTATTATATAAAAATTTACACATCCTGTTTGGTGTGTATCTCCTACCATATCATTATTATTTGCTTTTAAAAATAAATCAGAAATAACCAACTTAAAATGGAAAATTTTAAAAGAAAAAAAAAAGGAAAAAAAGAAAAAAAAAAATCCCCCCCCCAAATTTTTTGAACCCCCTTATGATTCATCACCCCCAAACTCAATCCCAGCCTTCCCTTTGTGATATGGTACCTTGCAGTACAGTTTCAGAGAGATCCATACACTTGAACACAAGTTATTGTCTTGAAACTAGAAAAATGCTTATTTTTGGCCCCTTTTTGGCCCCCAATTCCTAACCGTTTCAGGCAATTACCCCCGAACTCAATTCCAGCTTTCCCTTTGTGATATGAAACCTTGTAGTACAATTTCAGAAATATCCAAACACTTACACACAAGTTATTGTCATGAAACTAGAAAAATGCTTGTTTTTTGCCCCTTTTTTGGCCCCTTATTCCTAAAATTTTGAAGCAATTACCCCCAAAATCAATTACAGCCTTCCCTTTGTGATATGGAACCTTGTGGTACAATGTCAGAGAGATCCATACACTTACACACAAGTTATTGTCTGAAAGTTACAAAAATGCTTATTTTTGGCCCCTTTTTGGCCCCTAATTCCTTAACTGTTGGTACCATAACCCCCAAAATCAATCCCAACCTTTCTTTCGTGGTATTGAACCTTATGGTAAAATTTCATGGAGATCCATTCACTTAAACTAAAGTTAGAGTGCGAAAACCAATGTGTCTTCGGACGACGCCGGACGACGCCAGACGACGACGACGACGACGACGACGCCAACGTCATACCAATATACGACCAAAAAATTTTTAATTTTTGCGGTCGTATAATAAGGAGATGCGGTATGATTCCCAATTAGACAACTATTGATGAAGACCAAATGATAAAGATTTGAACAATTCTACATGTTTTATTTAACCAAACTCTAGGAGTGGGGCATTACATTGACCTCGACAGTCCGTCCATCTGTTAATCCCTTCGTCCAACAAATATTTCTTTCGCACTTGTCTCTGGTACTACTATACAAAATGATTTCATATTTAGTCAGCAGCTAGACAGTGACAAGCATTAAACGTGTGAGCGTTTTCCAGTTCAGTAAGACACTTTCGTTTTGTTTTCTGATACTTTACGAATGGGGGTTCACTTAGTACGACAACTCGTGCATTAAGTTGTATGACTACAGACATCTTCTTTTTTTTTTGAGCATTGAGACCAAAAAGTAATCAAAACCCGTTTTAAACAATTATGACGCAAGGAAGTTCAAGAAGAATAAACGATAAGAATGGGTAAATCATATCAAAATGATAAGTATATAAAATGCCAAGTCCAAGCGTCACAGTAATTAAGGTGTTTTGTGAAAACATCGAAGGTTTTTATCGCTTGTGTCCTATTCTAGATTGTGACATTTCGACTGACTGTGGATTTGCATGGCGGTTGATATCATGCATAACAGGAGACGCTTACCCTGTCGACACATCCTGTCTCGCTCATTTTTTGGAGTTTATGCGATTCTTTTAGTTTTTCCTTGTTGCCTTGGTTTGTTTTCATAAAAGATATATGAGGTTTGAACATTGGTAACTACTGTTGTAATACTTTACACTATTACAAAGTAACTGTTCTTACAAATAATAAGTAAACAGCTAGAATTATTATCATAATTTTTTTAATTCTGAAGTTGTATTTCAAATTATCACAGTTCAAACACAATGACAGCAGCATAATGTAATGACAACCTGTAAGAAATCACCGTCCATGAAAAATACAATGCTACAATGTCTGTTCCAATGTCAAATAAGTCAAGTTGAACATGAACGTACGAATAAATACATGGAGAGGATATCTAATAAATACTTCAAATATTTACAGTGAACTATACAATGAACACAAAGTTTGTTACCAATAATAATTTAAATAATAATGTGTATCTGCATTGATATTGCGTGTAAAGTGCAAAACTAAAAGATATGTGTTTTATAACTAATTTTCTTCCTATACATCCAGAAAATGTTTGTGAACACATGTGTCAGTTTTTATAGTTTAAAATTCAAAAAAATCTGTCTGTGAGATTCACGTAAAAGTTGTAGCATTCTAATGAGTATTGGCTGTTTTACTCAAAACATTTTATATAACTTTATTTTCAAATGATCCACCTTATTAATTCAGCTTCTTATTAATTCATTGACTACATCTGCATGTTTTTAGGTTATTGAACTCGTAAACATAACACTATGCATACATGTTTTGACACAACCGTTGTATATACAATGTAGACTTATGAATCACAGGAGGACATGTTGTGGATTGGCATATTCGTATGTTGCACTTTGAGTCCAAAACTGTTTCCTGAAGATACACTACAGATACAATTATACTAAGAATCGTGTGTTGTCATACTTTCTAGAAGGCTTTCAAAATCATCGGATTCCTTCATGAATCTGTAAACAAAAACATAATTGATATATATTCCATCCTATTTTCACTTTAATTTTCTACCGGTATATTTGTTAATTTCATGTTTAAGGCAGCATGATGGTGTCCTCCGTGTTGTTGTGTACTTAATGAATTATCATTGATGATTTTTTTTTCTATGAAAAACTAACTTTATATGTCACGCTTCTCTTAAAGTAAGACAACTATGTTATTTCAACATAAGGTCATACTTTTTTTCTAAAAATGTGTTTTTTTTTAATCTTTGTAAACAAATTTAAAGACTTTGATTTATAAAGGAATGTGATCACTCGGAAAATCTTATTTAACATATGACTGCCGTGAATTGTATTCTGTTGTGCATCACGAAAAGAATATGCAGATCATTTTATCCTTTCAGAATCCAAAGCATAGCGGGTATTATTGTCAAAGTGTACAACATAAAGTTCTACTTGCATAACAACGTTCAAAACAATGGAAATTCACCAATGCTAACAATTCAATTACTCATATTACATTATATTTTGAAATGGTGAACTGTTTACAACATCTTTTTTGACGAAAATCTGTGTGATCTATTTTGGAAATTGCTTGATTCATATTTCATTTTTTGGCAAAATACTAAACAATTTAATTTCTTTTACGTTAATGCTCCAATGATTGTCAATAACGAGTTTTACTAGTAAAGCATGGTCTTTATACACTTCTGGAGCATCTGAGATCACTCCCGGTTAAAGTGAGTTTCGTGTTTATCATTCTTTATTTTCTGTGTATTGTTAAGAAGAATATTTTTGTCTTTTCATCGTTTCTTTCTTTTAAGCCATGGTTTTGTCTGTTTTTCTCCTACTTATTATTTCTGAGTATCCCGTTGGTATCTTTCGTCTCTTTTGTAAAGTACAAATTGATCGTATTTACCTGTTTGAAAAACAGACACGGGTGACAAGTGAAAAACTTAACTCCAATTGTTTCCTCGTGTATTATTTTCATAATTATAATTAAGCATCATCTTAAATGTGTATCTGCAAATATCGAGTGTTTCAAGAGAAAGTAGGAAACAGTATTTTAACATACAATTTTCAAAGCGTCCTTTAATGCAAGAACATAAAATGTTTATTGTATTTAGTAATTTTGACGAGCTGCTATTCAAACATAATCCTACCTGTTTAATGATTCCTTGCTTGAATTTATTAATCCGTCCGTTTCTAATTGCGTTTTTTCTTTAAATATTCTATAAAAAAAACACATACATTCTTTTGGTTATCTAAATACACTACGAAGTAATTTACACCACAAATAATTTATTCATAGACTGCTACTTGTTTTGGTTCCTTTGTTTAAAATCGCTACACAGGTGACACTTCTCTTTAGTACATACGAATTTATTTTTCTGTTTGTCAATAGGAAGCCTCATTTTGCCCACGAAAAACTTCTACAGTATCTTTCTATGTGTATCTGACAGGGAGAAAATAATCAGTTTGGTACTTGTTTTTAATTATGCATTCGTGTTGCAATAATCCCTTGATTAATTCAAGTTTTCTTCAAAATAATTATTAAATTCTCAAAACAAAGTTATTTAACACTATAGTAATTTTTTTTATTGGGATAAGGTGAGTTTTAAGCAAGTTATTGTTAGTTGTTTTTCTCTTAACAAATTGCGATATTATTGAATTAGTTTGTTAAATAGTCAAAAGTAGCACTTGCAGAAAAAAAAATACATACGATTCTATATCTTCGTAGCAACTAATAGACATCTTCTGGTTGCATGTATCTCGACATAACGGCTGCTGAAATGTATATATTTTGCAGTTGAATTATGGTTTCATAGTTGTGGAAATAAAGAAATGCATTTTTTAATTTGTTTCGAATTATCAATATATTCATTTTTGTCCTTCAAAAATATATTTGTAAATGATGGTTGTCCACACGAGCAAGTTATTATCCATTATGATGTGAACTTATGATTTTCTTCATGTCTAAAGTGAGCTGGTTACTGTAAGGGGTTTCGCTTGAAATGATATTGCAGTGACCTCTTGGGTAAAATGTATAGATTTTCTTTCTATCGCAGATTTTTTTACCTTATGATATGAAGTTTTTATCGTGCATATATATTCTATATCCATTCTGTTTAAATTGAATACAATTAAAAGATGTATTTAATGTTAACATATTGATTATACATGGTTGAAAAGAAATTTAGTAGATATCATGAGGATGCATGATACAATAACAAAACTTTGAATTTTAAGTATTCAAGGCTGTACCATTTAAGATAGAACTTTAAAAAGAATTTCTGTATTTGGACGAAGGATGTGTCAGATATATTGGTTATTCTTATTTTTATGGAAAGGGGAGACACACTTTTTACTTTGGTGCTCTTGAAGATGACATATGGCTCCAGTTTCCTGATGAAGGATATTTGAGAAAACCATAATCGTAAAATACAATATAAACTCACCCCTGAACCATCAGCAATAATATCTTTTAATTCCTCCATGTTTCTCGACAATTCTCGAAATTTTTCATTCAAATTCAGCTCATTTCTGTATTACAAATGTTCCAACAATATAACATCAATCAATTTGTAAGATAGAACATTCTTCTTTAAAAAAAAGTTCTTTAATCTTAAAACAGCTTGTATAACTAAATTGACATCATTCTTTTAAAATATTTAATATGTAAAAGCAGTAAGTTTTATTATTTTCATTTGAAAAGACATCTTCTTCTTGTCTTAAAAACAAAACAGTTATGGTTGTTTACTTGTCCTGTGCAACATTAAGGTACCCTTGCATATTTGGACTGTGTTATCGTTAACATCTGTGGCGAGGAACTAAAATGTTTGTTGCAACTGCATAATTTGAGATTTTTTTTCTAGAGACACCGTTCACTGACATTTATCTTTTAACAAGCGACCTTAACAACAACCTAACGACAGAATAATATTTTTTTATCTTGAACATTTAAAATTTTAAAATTTATTCTGGTTTTTAACCTTCAATGAACCTAAAAATCATTGTCTGGGCTAAATTTGGAAACTTCAAAAAAAAACTTCACTTATCAACGGGTTTGTACTTGCGTGAGCAACACGACGGCTGCCACATATGGAGCAGGATCTACTTACTCTTCCGGAGCACCTGCAATTACCCCCAGTTTTTGGCGGAGTTCGTGTTGCTTAGTCTTTAATTTTCTATGTTGTGTTTTGTATGCTGTTGTTAGTCTTTTCGTCTTTTTTTTCCATGACATTGTCAGTTCGTTTTCGACTTGTGAGTTTGAATATCCCTTTGGTATCTTTCGCGTCTCCTTTTCAAAAATCTTAAAACTATTTCGTAAAAGAGCACGATGTGACTGTCACCCAATTGATTAGACACATGTTGATCTCTGGTCTTAATATGCCAGAATACTATTCATATCTGAACAATTACCAATTATGTCATAATCCGATGATATTTTTGACTGAATAAAGATCCACATGGTGGGTGATACATGCATAGCAAAAGACGAATACCATGTCCACGCACGCGCTCTGTCGCCGTTTGTTGATGCAATTACTTCAGGTTTTATCTCTTTTGTTTCTATCATTGTAAATAAATTTATTAGTATAGAACATCGGTAAACAATTGCTGCCTCTTTTTTTTGTGGAGCATTTAAAGGTCATCACCGGTTTTATCCTCGTTTTTATATCGTTATTTCCAAAAAAATGTTTTGGATATTGTTTACGATATTGCCTTCTCACAGTTACAGTGGTTTACTCATAGCTTTGTTTTCCAATTACCTTAAAATGTCTTGGATATTGCTCACGAATATTTTCTTATCACAGTCACAGTGGTTTGCCCAATGATTTCTAGCTTTGTATACTAAATTCAAAATACTATCCCTGAAAATATAAAAATAATATATTAAGTAGAAGTTCAAAAATAATAAAACATCAAAACCAATAGATTAATTTTACTGAATTTTATTTCCATATTCATTCATAATGTATTCCCTCCAAATGGGAAATATATTTTTTCATAAAAAGTCGTCAATAATTGTTTATAATATTTAGTTAAGAAATGATTCACCAACCAAAATAACTAAACAAAACTTGTTTATATTAATAAAAAGGATTTTTTTGCTTCCATAAATTTTTCTATATTATATTTTCTTTTGAAAGCCTTATGCATATTACACTTGTGTTCATTCTACAAATGCATAATGCAAAAGGTCAAGTTCATGCCACAATTATGTTAAACATATGTAAGAAAAAACTTGAAAAGTTTCATACCTTAAGTTCTTATTACGAACTAAATCCAGTGGTGTTTTTTCTCGAACGACAGAATACTTAAGGATATCCGATAATGTATCTTTTGAGGTCTTCAGATAGCTTTTTAATGTTCCAATACTGTAAATATAATTAAAACATATAAACCACTTAGATTTATTTGTAACTTTTACTTACTTATATACAATGGTATTTTACTTAGTCTCATGTGTTAAGTGAAGCCATGTGCACTAAGAAACAAAACTCTTGCCTGAATAAAATTCATTATTTGTGTTAAATTTACAAAAATACAAGTTGAAATCATATAAACGGAGTCTACAGATAAATTGTTTGATGGTGATAGGTAGTTATTTTTTTATAATCTTTTTTTCAAATGTGGTAATCTATTTCTGCTTATGACTGTAAACAATAATTCAGATGAAAGAAGTCAATTTTTTGTAACTACGGTTAGTTTTAATATATGTATATACATTCAGTATTTGTTGTTCTTATTTACCATTCATCAGTACATAAAGACGTAAATTCTTTCGATTTTGAAATTCTTTTCATAATACTTGATACATCATGTATTCTCTCCTGGATGTATTCTGTAACTTGTGTGATCTTAAAAAATAAAGTGAAATGGATAGAAATATATAGAAGTTGATAGCATATATTCTTAGACACCTTTTATTTTATCTCCATCTAAATCCAAAAATGGTTTTTATTTTTCATACGTTATATACGATGAATAATTATGATTATGGATTAGCGTTTAACATCCAGTGGTAATTAATACATGCATATCAGGATAAGAACATTTTAATGAGATATAATTATGAACCTGTTTCGCTATGAGGAAGAACAACTGAAATCGACACTACATAAGGTTTGCGGTCACCATCACGAATTGGTTGACCGATACCATATGTCGGTGTCTCAACTCACTAGCGACATGTTTTCGCTGTATTAGATCTTTACTTCTTTAGATACTAGTAATTTCGTTTGATCTGTAATTTTAACGACTGTGTCCTTTTCCCGATTGTTAACTTTTTACTGGATGTAAATTTGCATGGAGGATGATGCATCTATAGCAGGGGACACTTACCCTGTCTATGCATCCGATCTTGCTCCTTTTTGTGATACATTCAGTTCTGTTTCCTACCTTAACTTGTTTTTTCCTAATCGATTTTCGGGTTTTGAACATCGGTAAACTACTGTCGCCTTACATTTGTGCTTGACAAACGCTATGAAACCAGATTGTTTACGTATTTATAAACATCGATTTCCTTATATACTGACAAATAACTGAGAAAATAACTTCAGACATTCTTCATTTAAACCAACCAATTATGTTATAGGTAACTGACCGTCATACTCCTAACCGGCAACAGGAATTTTTACATTAACTTTTGGGTTGATCTAGGTTTCACGCCTCAAAAAACATCCAATGAGGATTTAAATACTTGTCTTGTAACAGGCCAGGAATATGACAGTGGTTTTCCAATCGTTCGGTTGGTTGATATAGTCGAGCATTCGGGGTTTTTTTTTTTTTTTTTGCCTTTACGATATTATATTAGAAATTTATACAATGACTTCAAAATTAAAGTAAAACTATTTTCAGTCATTAGTTACGTGTAAGACATACCTGCATGGTTGATTGATGCATTGAACTGTTTTGTGTGCCTCTTGCTCTTAAGGGGCTGTCTGTTTGTATTGAAAACATTTGTGAACTGCACGGTTTTAATCGAGAAAGTCTTTCATTTGCAATCATTGTTAACAACTCAAATTCTTTTTTTAAATCCTTTAACTTTATTTCATTACTATTTCTGAAAAAAAAAGAATTAATGTGATCATATGAAAAACATGTACACAAGATACGTTATAATTATTTCAACAACGTTTTGGTATTGCATATAACATGTATATAATGTATTTTATATTTCTACCTTTTATACACGAAGTAAATTTTAATGTAACCTTTTTATCTATAATGGTTTACTTTTACAAATTGTTACTTGGATGGAGAGTTGTCTCATTGGCACTCATACCACATCTTCTTAAACCTATTTTTATCATTACACTTTTACCATGTGGTACAAAAAGAATGTGAAAGCAATTATTCCTTATCACTAGGCATAATCTGGTTTGAAAAAAGTTGGTGAAAATGCAGTATATATGTATTAAACGTACATATCTCATTTGTCATTATTTCAATATATGAATGATTATCCTAACAAAAGCTACTGTCATCTTCAAGTAAAGTTTAATGTAATCATATATTGTCTTGACAAGAATAAAAATCAAGAGAGGCATCTTACCTTAAATCCGATCGAAAAGTTTGAACACATTGTTTAGATCGATGGATGTCCTCTACAGTATTGCACAAATAAGCTATGATACAAGCTGCTTTACGGCCAACCTTTACAAGCATCTCATTTCTCAAATTTGCATTGTCCAGCGTTGAAATATCTATAAATTTACAATACAATAATATTGATGAATTGAGATAATTGTCTTTTGTTGGCCACACTGTTGACGTAATATTTGAAATCCAATGTTTGAAATGTTCGTTTCTGGACGTTAACGATATGCAGCAACACAGTGACAAGTTACAATGTAACTTCAACTGTCATGAACCTGTACATCAAATTTAAAACTTTAGTTTCTTCAAAATATTATCTCAACAATCAAACATTTAACAAAATGTTTTCATACATTTATATAGTATTTAAGTATTACTACCGTTGCCCTTTTGTAATGATCAGATATTATAATGTAGACTATACTTCAAAAATCAGATACAAGAGGTTCGGTCAATTCATTCTAGCAACATTTGTTTTATGTGTGATAGCCGCTATTCTGTCTGCAGAAGTAAAACAGTTTCGAGATTACTGTCTTGAAATATAAACTTATCAAAGATACCAAGCTTATAAATTAGTATACCAGACGCGTGTTTCGCCTACAAAAGACTCATTAGAGGCGATCGAATTAATATAGTTAGAACACCAATTAATAACGTAAGAAGTCAAAGAGCATTAAAAACCAAAATAGTATGCCAAATATGGCTATGGCAACCTGTAAACCAGGGAATTTAAATTGATTGTATAAATAAATTGTCAACACAGAGATGTGGGACAATCACACTTAAATATTGACGCCGCCGACGTCATAAAACAGCTCGCAAAAGTCTCGACAATTTACATCGTCGAAAAAAAGAATGATACTTCATATCCCTTCTTGATAGTTCTTACAACTTTCCTATTTGTCTATAATGCATCCGAACCTACCTTATATATTAATTATTAATATTTGTTCGTCCTCAATATGCATGAAATAATTGCCAGTGAACGTTTATGAAACAATCTATAAATTAATGCAAGTATTTGTAGTCAGTTTGAAGACAGTACACGTATTCAATTTCAAATTCAAACTATCATTTGGGACTTGAAAACTAAATTTGTGTTGTTCCTTTTCGCATGTATGATTAATTCTGATATATGTTGCAATCAATCAAATTCTTTTAAAGGGTGCAGTTAATCGTACCAATTGGTCCGTTTACTCTACCTTTCTTGCCTAGTGTTATCCAAAATGTATTTGTACATGTGAAAAACATGCTGAATACATCATATTAAAAAACATCTTTGGTTACTTTTTGATTGAAAATATAAATACAAGTAGTTTTTAATAGACACTATTTGAACATTTGGCTGTACGATTTTATATAGTTTTTGCTGTTGCATCCGACTTTTTCAGTTCCGAAATTTTAATCCAAATGAGATTATGATGGCACAAATAAAAAAGATCGTTGTTTAACTGCATAATTTGTTTAAATAATTTTGCTAGAATTGTTCATTATGGTTGACCTAGTGTCTATTCGGTGAGATAAAATCACTATTGTATCTCAAATGTTTAATCTCCGAGATTAGCTGTGCATTACTGCTGTTCGAATTTTGTTGCACATAGTGTTTATTTTTATTAATCCACCACTTACAAACTCGTACTTTTTTAGAATGCATCTTGCAAGACAATATGACTTTTAGTTTTACAACGTATGGTCAAGATATGTAAAGGGCAGTTTTTTGTGCACATAAAACTGGTTTAACTCCACTACATGTTGTGATTGTTCCACATGAGGCTATCTGGACCATGTTTTGTTCGTTATTGTGTCTTTTTATACGTCTTCTTTTTCGGAGAAGTCGGTGTTGGTAATTGATGTGGTCTGTTTCATTGTCCAGTATTCGGTTATTCTTGTTAGCCTTGTTATGAACGTTTATGTGTTATTAGAATATATAAATCCCAAATAACCTATGTGGTGATTTATATGATGTCCGGTCTGTTGGAAGCTAACAACTTACACCAGTGGTCTTATGAAACCTTCTTCCGGGAAGCAGACATTCTAGATAACGCAGTTCCTGTTCATATTTTAAACATATGTCATTGTCAATACTTAACCGTTTATTTGAATCAGAGCGCTAGGTATGTGAAACAACACTTTTAAATTGCTTTACTTAAAAACAGATTTAACAAAAGTATGGAAAAATTACCGACTTGCAAGGTAACTTCCATAAAACCTGACGAAACCAAACGCTAGACTTTATCAACCATGGTGATCTGGGTATGCTTTGTCCACACTTATGTAAAGGGAAATGGGTAATATGAAAGGCGACCTTGGATAACCTATGTCCAAATCTATGTAATGTGATCGGTGGTAGCCTTGCTTGCCTTTTCCCCGGATGTGACCTACCGAATTAGACTTATCACCGGGTTTGGACTGTCACTAACATCACGACGGGTGCCACATGTGGAGCAGGATCTGCTAACCCTTCCGGAGCACCTGATATCACCCCAGTATTTGTTGGGGTTCGTGTTGCTCAGTCTATTGTTTTCTATGTTGTGTTTTTTGTACTAATGTTTGTCTGTTGGTCTTTTCTTTTTTAGCCATGGCGTTGTAAGTTTATTTTCGACTTGTGTGTTTGAATGTCCCTCTGGTATCTTTCGCCTCTCTTTTCCAAATGGCATTACAATGAATGAACATGAAACCTATTTGATGTATTGCTCATAAACATGCATATTAAACTCACCATTGTGTATTCGTGAAGAATCAAAAATATCAACATCAATAGTGGAAAATAACAGTAAAGGATTTTCCCGAGATGTAACTGGTAAATCTTTTATCGTTGTGTCCAAGCTGAGATGTTCAATATTGGTTTTCTCAAAATAAATTGTTTGATAACGTCTGTCAATTTCAGTTTCAGTAGCAATCATTTCATAAAGCATCGATAACCTGGAATGAATTAAATTAGATAAATGAAATGTAGAGTTTTTCACACTCTATTGAAAAGAAACATCAATCGAGGATATATGGTTATCCATATAGAAACATAGGCTACAAGCCTGATATGTTTTCGACAGAACACAAAAGTATTAATACCGTTTTATGAAGAAAAATATTGACTTTAAGATTATAACATATTTTATCTTTTTTTTCAAAAGTCAGTAATTATTCTTTCTGATAAAATAGAAATTTTTTTAAATCTGTTTTTAAATTAAGCAATTTAAAAGTGCTGTTTCACATACCTAGCGCTCTGATTCAGATAAACGGTTAAGTATTGGCAATCACATATGTTTAAAATATGAACAGGAACTGCGTTATCTAGAATGTCTGCTTCCCGGAAGAAGGTCTCATAAGACCACTGGTGTAAGTTGTTAGCTTCCAACAGACCGGACATCAAAGGTACCAATCTAGACTTTAGACCACTAAAAGATTCAACAGCATCTTCAAGTTTAATATAAGTTGTATAATCATTATTAGTTGAATTCTAAATATGAAAAAGGCTGAAACTGCTATTGTCTGAACCTCATTTTGAGAAATTATAAAGCATCACACAGTGATGTATCTGGTGAGTTGATAACAAACAAAACAAATAATTCTTCTTGCGAAACTTCGTCTAGTATATATAAACCAGTTTATAAGGAATTCTAGGGTCTGTTTTCTCTGACTTCATTTCCTGAAGGTTGCTGCTGCTCAATAAGAAGATCGTTTTTGTAGTCACATCTCCACACAGCTTTCCTCGTTATGATATTGCAAAGTACAAATCATCAACAGATTTCTACTTTTTGACCCCCCCCCCTTTTCCCTAAATCGCACACACACACACGCGCGCACCGAAACGATTGCGTTGCACCGAAACGATTGTGTTCATCCCAATGTCAGATATTTATGGAGTCGTGGTGATCAATAATCTGTCTTCTGTGAATTTTTTGTATTTATTTTTACTGTCGTTGGCCTTTTTTCTTTTTGTTATGTTGGTGTCCGTCTTCATCGTCTTATTGTGTTTAATAACCACTTTTTGTTATCTTTTCAATGTTTAACTTCGGTATCCATACATTTGTACTTATCACATGTTATTTTGAAGAATATTATTTTAAAATTCTGATGTACAATTTATAGTGTCAGAAAGGATTATTATTCTAAAGTTTAGCATGCGATAATCCGAGTCGCATTGATCCATTTCGTGCTAAATTTTTTTGTTCCTTGTCTGTTAGTTCATTTAAAGAGTGTTCATTGTTCTTTCAATGAAGGCTCAACCTGTTTTTATTTTTGATATATGCTTGGAGTTAATAGCTGATTAATTTCTGCATAAGTCATGATGACGAAAATGTCTTTCTTAAAAAGACGTGATTTCCAAGTATTTTTCGAAATGTCGTTTTACTTCCATCCTTAGTTTCGGATATTCTTTGTTGCGAATAGCTGAATGATTATTTGTCATTTTCTATTTACAAAGGGCGTTACATTTCGTAGTCATGTCAATGACAAAGTAAAAATTTAGATGACAGTCTCGTCAAAGGCAATGTTTATGACTTATGAAAATATTCTAATTCAAACAAACTATAGTATAGTTATGAATAGAAGGTATTTCCTTATATACTTAGGAAGACTTTGATCTTTATCAAGTACGTCAAGATTGTTTGTATATTTATAAAAGTGTTCCATTGAAAAGGTTTATTTTATAAATAAAATCATTAAAAATGTATGTAGTATGAATATTATCTTAATCTATATATATATGTGTGTATATAGACCACGTTTTGTGTCATGGTCACATACATATGAATAAAAAATTTCCCTATGCCTATCTTTTTACTTCCTTGTTTCGACCTACATTTATTGATTCGATACCTGATACTTAGCTTCCGGGTGTATTTTTTTTCAGTTAATATTTCACTTTCTATTGTTTCAGTGTATAAGATCAGACTATGGTATTTGAAAAGATTACCTCGATATGTTACATGATGTAGGAAATTCAGAACTCCATTGAATCTTTCCGTTTTCCATTTCCTGTATACCACATATTTTTCCTCTTGGTTTTTGGCTTATTATTAAAAACCTTAAAAAATATTTCAGTATTTTACTATTGCGCAAATGTAAAATAAAATACAATTCCGATATTTCCTCATTGCATCATTTTAATAAAATTTGATACTTCCGAAATTCGACAGTTTGCATTTCCTCCCGAAAGTTCCAATTGTCATACTCTTCCGGTGTTGCGTAAAATATAAATATTGTCTTATTAACGAGGAAAACTACAACGGATTTCAATATAATAGAGAATAATTGTTAACCAATCACAGTACTGATTTTCTTATCTATTTAAAGTTTAAATGAGACACTTACAAACAATGATCTTTTTATAAAAAACTAAAAGGATTTACCAATATAAATAAAGGCCTAACACGACAAAAACAACTTCCTTTTTCTGTACTTTTATCATTGTTTTCTATTAATAATCTCTGTACGGAAAAGAAATAATTAAAGTTTTATAAAAATTAGTAGAATTTCAACGTAATTCGCATTTAAATTAGATATATTTATATATGACTTAATTTTACTTACATAGTTTGTCTATTTCTTCTTGCACCGCCATAAGGCTTGAAAGGAACATTACCCGTAGCAGCATGAAACAAAGTTACCCCTAATGCCCATTTATCAACACACGAGTTCACCTTCACATGACTAGATTTCTGTATGAAAGCTCCTTTATAAAGTAATGGGTGCTGAAAATGAAAACTTATTAAATTATCTGCTTGAAAATCGGGTAAATTACAAAATTATTGTTTTGCTTTATCATATTAATAAGTATTGTATTGTCATATCAGCATATATAATATTTGTGGTATATACAAATCATAAACAACAACAAATTTTGGGATTTTAGTATATAAACTTTAACAACTTTTTTTTAATTTAAAAATTCGATTAATTAATCATGGGTCGTAGTTAAACCAACAGGAAAATACACAGGTATGAAGATTACTGACGTTGTTGTTAAGGGGAATCACAAACGCATTAGTCTCGCAGACACTCCCATTTGAATTTGTCCTTATGTAACCACATTTAAACTCTGACGTGTTAATAAGAGTATATGCATATGTATTGCAATCGGAACATGTTCCTACCTCAATACATCCTGAATACATTCAGTATATAAGTTCCATCACACGCGAGGGAAACTTCAGTACAGAGATTGACTTTACCTCGTATTGTGGTTTTTTTACTCTCCCTAGATTTGTGAGTTCAGTCGACTATGGTGTTTAGATGTTAGTATTTTATCCAAATATATCTCATTTCAACATTTCCATGACAGAAATTGTTTTCTCAAAGTAAATACCAAAAGAATCGTGAAAAACTTGCAAACTATATTTATGGTAATTGTTTCAGTATATTGTACTGGTTGTTAAAAGCTTATGAAAGTGGAACAATATTGATTTGTTATAGTTATATTTATCATTTTTACAGCTCTAGCTGCTGATATCAAAATCATGGGTCTGGATGGGAATAGTAAAATAGAACATAAACGGTCAACTACATAAAGAATACAGAAAATTGGAAATATTTACATAATGCAACAGAAATGAAGACCTCCCTCATACCCTCCCACCCCATCCTGACCCGCATAACTCTACATTTATGTAGATATTAAAATATTTACCAGATATTCTTCTGTACCCGCCAATGAAAGACACATTTCTTCGTCGTACTGTGAATGATTTTGTCTTGAAGATCCAAAATCAGATATTTTAAAGGTTGTTCTGTAAAAAGGATAATAATTATTATTAGAAAATCAAGGATAGATCATATAAATAATTATAAAAATTGTAATTTGTTTATTTGAATACAATAGAAGATAATGTTCGATTGCAGATGATCATTGTAGCAATAAATCAGATGCAATCAATCTCAAATAGCTGGAATGGCATATAATTTATACCAGTTCTAATATTTACCTTTTCTTTAAGTATCTTTTATTCAGTATCTTTGTTTTAAAGAATAACAAAAGAGGAATCCAAAGTATATTGGGAAACGTCGAGTTTACTTTCCCTTTAAAATACTGAATAGGGGTCGTTTACTTACATATTTGGCACGGATTTGGTAATGAGTATATTTGCTGGTTTGATATCACGATGAACAAAATCGTTGGAATGTAATTCTTGTAAACCGGAAGCTGAAACAGATATTATGAATAAAATAAGGTTCTTAATGTTGAGACAAATAATTATTGGAACAAAATATAACGGGTCTTACACTATTACATAAAGATAATATTGCAAAACAGTGGTACGACACAAAAGAAGTGTGGTAGAATAGTTCACTATTTCAAGCTTCAAACTACATGATAATGTTGAGACATTTAGATTTAATATCTAATATGGTTCCTGATTATATCATAAGATAAGTATATGAAATGTTTAGGATTTTTTTACATTTAAAACCACGGTCATGAATTCATCAGATACTTAACAAATCTAGTTTTACTCGTCATTAAATAGCGTAGTATATAACTAGTTGTCTATTTTTGGCAAAAAATATATGGTAAGGTAGGTCTATATTTTTTTTCATATTCCAATTATATAATTAAAAATTGGGTACCAAATGTCTATGCTGTTCACCCCTACAACCAAAAGGATCGTAGTGGGCTTTTCCGATTCAAATTTACACAAAATTGAATGAAATTGTAAGTTATTATGAGGGGGTGGACAGGGGTTATCCTTCTCCCACTTTTAGAATATTTTTAAAATTGAAAAAATACCCTCAGCAGAAGTTATGATTATCTGGACTAGAGTGTACTATAACCATAAATAATTTTGTCAATGGGTGATGTAGCATATCAACGTTACTATATAAGGTTAAATGAGGTTTTATTTATTTATATTCTGTTCTATTTTAAAGACCACGTGGAGGTTTATTGAAGGGAAATATTTAGTTCATCTATATCGGATGTTCTATACAATAAATGAGGAAGTCATAAAGTATTATTTTTAGTGCCCTCTTGTTGTTAATCAGTGATTACCTAAGATTACCTAAGAGTCCAACATTGACACACCCTGTAATTTAAAACAATTAATTTGAACCTATCCATTTTATTTAAACCCTATCCTTATTAAACAGAGGTAAAGAGTTATTTTTGTGCAACATGTTTCCCAGTTCCTTTATCGTGATTCCGTGATTGCTGAAAGCTAGTTTCTCGTAATTTCCTGTACAGATGGGCAAACTTGCATTGGTCAGATCAATATTTTCTCTCAAACCTTATTTTTGCTATTTCCGTGTACTCCCTTCCTCTCTCCTTTTACACAATCAATTTACCCTTTACAATAAAAATTTTGCGTGACATGACCTTTTATAGATTGGGTATATTTGGTCTTCCTTGATCGTAAGCCAATTTGAGATAAAGTTTGTAAATTAAATGTATATATCAAACTTGAAAACAATTTAGTATATATTTTGTTTTCTCCACAGGAATTTAATCCAATAAAAAATATATGAATTGATTCCTGTGAACTTTTCTGTTATCCGTTCCTAGTGATGTCGTTTCATTATGTGAATTCTTCTCAGTTAAGCTCTGAAATGTCGATATACTAAGATTGACAAAATTTGTGTAAAATGTAAAAATATATCAATGAAAATAATTTTGGTTTTTTTTTTAAATTAAAAAAAAATTTATCGAGTGAAAAATGCATATATTTTAATTATGCAACATAACCTTTATGGGCCGATAATTGGTTTGATAAAGTATTCGTATTCGTATAGAAACAATAATTTCCATACATGTAATACAATATGACATGATCTATTTCATACCTAAATGGGTTATTAACAATGTGAAGAGAATATCGGGTAATCCGTTCATGTATTCAGGTTCCTGTAGCATGGTTTGTAAGCTTCCGCCAGAACAAAATTCCATAACAATTACCGTTTTATTTGAAATTCTCTGAAAATAAAATTATTGAGATTTGTTGTAAAAACCTAGGTTGATAATAATTGCTACAGCATACAAACTCAATATATGCCATCAAAAGTGATTGGGTGGACATATAAACAAGAAGATGTGGTATGAGTGCCAATGAGACAACCCTACATCCAAGTCACAATGTGTAAAAAGTAAAAATAATTAATGATAGGTCAAAGTACGGCCTTCAACACGGAGCCTTGGCTCACACAGAACAGCAAGCTATAAAGGGCCCCAAAATGACTAGTGTAAAACAATTCAAACAGGAAAACCAACGGTCTAATCTATATAAAAAACGAGAAACGAGAAACACTTAAGAACCACATAAACAAACGACAACCACTGAAACAGGTTCCTGGCATACCCATTTCTGCTGTATCTTTTATGATTCGTTTAATCATAAGTAAGTGTCCTTAAATTAGACCAGTAAGAAACTTTTTTTTCTTTAACTCTTTTTTCTTTTCTTTTTATTTTGTTATTTCTATCAATGTTTCTATTTTATTACTTCTAATTTGTCTGATGGACGTTTTTATCTAACAATAACGTGTCAGAACATCTGAAAGTCAGGCGAGTTCTTCACTTTATTACCACGTGGTTGATACCTCAGCTGGTTGATTGCAAGTCTCCGAGAGTATTACGAGCCCAGTACTTCAGTACTTTTGTACTGGTATGTTAATACAGATCTTTGAAATATCTTCCTCATGCATAACTCTGAACACTTGTCCGGGTTTTTCTATACGTTTTTGGTAACTTATGTAAATGCGCATTTGTTGAAATAAAATTTGTACCGTTAACATAATTATAAACTACATGTATCCTTTTTAATAATGCAATCATGTTTAAATATTTAGACAATAAACCACTTTGATCAAAGTGTGTTACTTGATACATTTTAGGGAATGTTAATGGAAATCTGTGTAATTTTATTTTGTATGCCTCATAAAAGAAATATGTTACTGTTTGTATGCTTTATACCTCATCTTCAATGCCAAATAGTTGAACAATATTTTTATGCCGGAGAGACAGAAGAGCGTCTGTTTCCCGTTGAGTTGCTTTATCGGCTCCTGTTCGTTTCGGTACTTTCAAAGCTCTCTTTTCACCAGTCACCTATAAGTAAATAATAAAAATATTCAGATTGGAACTATAAAAAGCAAATAATTTTTCAATTTCTGTAAATATGTTTCGTAAATTTTTACTATCTATGTGAATTATCAGGTGAGGTATGATTTCGATTGAAACATCTGTCCACAAAGACAAAAGATTTAGAAAGTACAAATAATTATTCTAAAATTTATGTCATTCAGGCAAATGATGCAACTTTATCTTTCCCATTGTTAATTGTCCTTTCCCTTAATTTAATTGAAACTTTCCATTCCTAAGTCCCCCTTTTTTGTTTGTTTGTGTTGCATATTTTACTTTTTATTATAGAGTTTAGGACTTTTCCTACCCTTTAAATGGTGCCACTTGCTAATTTTGCGAAAGTAACTGATGCCGTCCACAGGTATTTTTTAGTTCAGCAATACTCATTTTTTTTTTATTTCTTCTCTATAACTCCTGTGAACTTTTGTTTTCATTTTCATTTCCTTCGACTAAACATTTTTATTGCTGCTTTTTAAAGTTATATATATAGTGTTTTTTTCTCAAATAATTTTTTTTTTAGTTTTGATTCGTTTGTCTCACTTTTTTTAACATCTGCATACCTTATTGTATCCAAGAAATACACAAGAAAATGCTCCTTGTCCCAGTCTATCCTTCAAACTATAGTAATGGTTAACTGTTTCACCTACATATTCCATTCCTTGCTTTGTAAATTGCCATCTCCTTGGTTACAGTCTTAAAATAAAAAATGTACGTAAATTACCATCTCCTTTGGTTACAGTCTTAGAATAAAAATTGTACGTTAATTGCAATCTCCTATGGTCTCCTATGGTTACAGTCTTAGAATAAAAATTGTACAAAAAGATTTAAAATATGTATTGTAATTAATGAGTCCTACTTTATAAACTTTCTAAACTGGTTTTCCTATAAATACAAGCTTATTTCAGTATTCAAAATTTCTTCCTCGTTTTTATTCATGTGTAATTGTATTTAAAGATTCTAATTATATACATTGCATTCATTCACGAGTTCACATTAATGATTCTATTGTCTTTCCAGAAAAAAAACTCAGTTTCCTTTTCTGAATGAAAATTTTCAAAATGAAAGAAGTAACGTATTTTTATAAGAGGCCGCAAAAGGGATCGTATTTCGCGGATTTAAATAATTTGATCACAAAGCATTAATTTAGGCACTTTTTCATTGACAAAATTTAATAGAGTTCATGAAAGAATAGTACCTTTTCAGCAAATCAGCAAAAAATTGTGTTTATTTGCTCCTAACTAGAATGGTTTTTAAAGCATACTTATTCTAAAGTCTCAACACATTCGAAGCCATGTACTATGCACTTCAATGTACTTATTGTGGTTTTTAAAACAATAAAAAAAGGAAATAAGGAATTTTGGTACACTTCAATATCATATGTATTTCTATAATTGGTTGTCTTATTGTGTATGAAAAATATATTTTCAAAGCTCTTCCGTGATTTTTCCAACTGTTAAATGGACAATTTGACTTGGATGGAGAGTTGTCTCATTGGCACTCATACCATATCTTCTTATATCAATTTAATTATAAATATATCAATTGAAATAGCATGTCCTGAAAGGAAATTCCTTTCATTCTGTAAACTGTTAAAAAAAATTAAAAACGTTCATAGAAAATTAAATTTAGAAAATGTATATACCATTTTATAGATTAGTTGTAAATGTAGATCACAAACGTATACATATAAGTAATAAGTAATAACAACTTTTTCTACATGGTTGACAAGGTTTATTCAGAATAATAACATGCAGTTGGTATTTTAAAACATATAAGCTCATAACATACTTTGCTCTCTGTAATTTTAAGCATTCTTTCAAAGTGAATTTTAGTTACCACATATTTAGTTGTGTTTTTATCGTCAGGGTCATACTATTGGTTCATGTTTTAAGAGGCAGTAGCGGAAGTAGCTAAAACGCAGTCGTATACGCATGAGCTGATCCATTGTTCGTGCAAATATTTTGCTTACTTGTATTTTCAAAAGACATTCTTACAAAGTTTCAGAAAACATCTTCGTGTTATCCCATAAATTGTTAAAACGATTATGCTGATTATTTTTTAGAAATATGTAAAGACGATGGTGGTATTCGTTTCGTCATGCGTTGTTAAGGTTGATCAGTCGTGAACTTGGCTGAGGAGGGCCTCAAGGTTCGATGGATATATAGACATGTAGCTACATCATAATGGGGACGCTTATTTACAATTTCAAATAATCTCACAAAACATATGCAGCTTATATGGTATGTGAGTGTCCATTAGCAAGGAAAAGTCTCTATTATGTCAATCAGGCTTCTGTATTTTGCTCCGGTCATTTTTTCAGACTATGATCCTCTCTGTCCAAGCTATTATAGAACTTACATGAAGCTTTTTCATTGCATAATTTGCCCTAGCCAAAATATTTGCAACTGAACGTTAAGCAATGATATCTGAACATCAACTAATCAATTTCAAATAGCTATAACTAACCTTGTATTTACCTTTCGTCACTTAAATATAAACCTCTCCTTGCAATTTTCAATTTGGTTATTTCATTTGATTCATTTTTCTTCTCATTTTTAAATAAACGGCCTACTCTGTCAATGGTTTTTAAAGTATGTGGTCTTTCTGGATTAACCTATTCGTGCACTTTCAACTGTTTTACAAATTCTTTCGTTTGATCAATATTACACGGACAATAATGATATTTTTTTATGTTACACATTTTTGGCGCTTTTCCAGTTGTAACCAATCATTCTTGGCGATTTTCCATCAGGGAAAACCAACCAGAGATCTACTTATTATATAAAGTACCTTCCAAACAATATGTCAAAAACTGAAAGATGACCCTCGCCCTTATATAAGGCAATGATTAACAAAAAAAACACACCAAATGCATTATAACCATACGACTCGCTTGGGTAAAGACTTCTGACATATATTTAAAAGGTGATGAGGTCAAAGATGTGACAAAGATGTTTGGGAATACTCAACTCTCCCAATGTTGACCCTGTGTTGTGTATGAGCAAAAAAATACTGAACACAAGATATAAAAGCAACGATTTTGTTTTACATTTAAATTATGTTTTGTCAATTTCCTGATATGAAAACTTAAATACCGGCATAGCACACAATAACAAATGGAAAATATAATTAAAAAAATAACATTAAAGAATAATCCTTCGCCTCCAGCAAGAAATACTCTCACTGTCGAGTCCAAAACGGATATAAAAATATATTCATTTCACATTTTAATAAGACCCTGCCGGCAACCCTGCCACCCCTCCCCCCCTTTTTTTGTACTGATATGAAAGGATAGAAATGTATTTTCATCCATATTTACAACTTATAACCCTCAAAAATGCATTTTCATTAGGCTAAGCGAACATTCCTTCCCTGTATCTCGAGACAATGTACGTCCTGGGGTGCGTAATGAACCGTTTCTTTGTTTAGATTTATCAGTGATAGTAAAACGAAAGTATAGCAGACTGACATTATATTATTCGGTTATATGAATGTGTCAAATTTAGTTTAAGTATTTCTATGAAAATAAATTAGAAAAATATCAGAAGAGTGGTTGTGTTTTCAAAAACATTTCTTACCTTTTTACATTACAGCTGCAGTAGTACGTCAGCGGGCATTTTAAAATTGTGTGGAAATCCTGATGACAACGCGGAAAATCCGCTTATACTTTTAGAAATTAAATATGATCAAATGTGTACATTATACAGATAATTTCACTTAAACGCCAAATATAATATACTTGATATTTTATATCCAAAACAACTCGTCTGTGGTGATTTTTTATTAATTTATTGTCATTGTTATTGTTTATTCAATTTGATACTAAAAATAGAAACTGGTATTCCCCGGAAGTAAATATTCGTATAATCAATTTCGATGATTATATTGTACGTTATCGTTTCTTTATCATGATTATGTGTACAATTTACATTAATAATGATTACATTGTACGTACACTAACTGAATCAGAATATGTTTGGAGCACAATTCATATACAAATAATAATTATTATAATACCATACATGTATATATATATATGCATACCTTTGAATCTTGTTCACAACTGAGGTTCACAACGTTTATTCCCAATACTAGTATGTTATTCTCGGGAAAAAGGAATGACATCTATTGGTTTGAGGTTTCGTCATAAAACATATATAATAATATGAACATTTTTCTGAGAAAAATGAATTGCATTTAGATATTGATTAGGTCAAACTTTGACAATAATAAAAAAAAACTATATATAGGCAAACAAGTGAGAAAGCTAAAAGTTTAACAATAAAAATTTTGAAAACAGTTTTAAATTATTGACATCTAAGCTGAATTTAAGCTGAAATATAAAAACATATACAACAAAAAGAAGGTTAAAATTTGACTTTTTGATATTTATATAACGCCATTAAACTTTGAAACATAGAATTGACTGTTTTATATTGCTTAGGGGGGTACCATTTGATTTTAATGGGGGAAGGGGGGATAGGATGAAATTTAAAAAAAAAAAAGGCAGGACAGGAGTTTTGAGTAAAAACAAAAGGCAGGATGAGCAACTTGGCAAAAAAAAAGGCAAAATTTTTCATCCTAGCCCCCCCCCCCCCCCCAATAAAAATCAAATGGTAGCTCCCTTATTCAGACGAAACACTCGTCTGGTCACTACTAGGGTATAAACGGTATCTTTGATCTAAAGTTTTTGATGAGTATGAAATTATGGTCGATTATATTATTAAGCTTTTTTTTTCAAACTTTTCAGTGTGTGGCTATTATCTTTAAACAATAGGAAATTGAGAGACATCTGCGTTGTGGTTCTAATTTTACTAAAGAATTCTTTTACATTTTCAAGTTTCTATCCTGAGGCAATGATTACTTATTTCAAATTTTGATAGCATTGACAAAAAGGTGAACATAACTGAATGTGTCGATCAACTTTCTCAAGAAGTAACTGTCTGTAGATCAACTCTCTATAGGAGTAACTGTCTGTGGATCAACTCTATAGGAGTAACTGTCTGTGGATCAACTCTCTATAGGAGTAACTGTCTGTGGATCAACTCTCTATAGGAGTAACTGTCTGTGGATCAACTCTCTATAGGAGTAACTGTCTGTAGATCAACTCTCTATAGGAGTAACTGTCTGTGGATCAACTCTATAGGAGTAACTGTCTGTGGATCAACTCTCTATAGGAGTAACTGTCTGTGGATCAACTCTCTATAGGAGTAACTGTCTGTGCATGGATCAACTCTCTATAGGAGTAACTGTCTGTGGATCAACTCTCTATAGGAGTAACTGTCTGTGGATCAACTCTCTATAGGAGTAACTGTCTGTGCATGGATCAACTCTCTATAGGAGTAACTGTCTGTGGATCAACTCTCTATAGGAATAACTGTCTGTAGATCAACTTCCTATAGGAGTAAATGTCTGTGGATCAACTCTCTATAGGAGTAACTGTCTGTGGATCAACTCTCTATAGGAGTAACTGTCTGTAGATCAACTTTCTATAGGAGTAAATGTCTAAATGAAAATTCTTATATCAATTTTTCACCAAATGTTTTGTAATTTTCATGAAAATTATAACAGATACATAGAAACAGCAAACAGCAAAATTACAAGCAAGTCGAAATCTACAAAAAAAAACAGGTATGTCACATATTTTTGCCAGGTGAGTTATTTGAGCTAACGTGATTCCTGAGTTCATACTTGTTATAATTGTGACCCACCATGATATTTCTACGTTTGAAGAGGTGTAATGCCATTGTAAGAAAACAGGACGTTCAAAGTATAAAATACGTCACATTTTTTTGATTGAAAAACAAAGGATATGGGATATCCATTCATGACACAATATCAGTACATGCGCAGCAGAAAACACAAAAAAAGCAAAGGAACAGCGCTTTAATTGCTGTTCGTCATCTCAAAGTCACAGTGACGCCTCCAACACGGAGCAAAATATACTTACACAGAGATAGATTTCAAAAACGAATTTAAAGTCTGGATATTTAAACATTACATTTCAAATGAAGTATAAGATAGTTTTTAGTATAAAAGAAGAAAATTGAGCATACACATTGACATAAGATTGGGATATAGTTTTTTTGACAGAACAGAACATTTAACTGTCCTCATTCTTTTCATGATCACTTCCTGTGAATAATTCTATGTCTTCACAGGGAGAGAGAAGCTTGGTATTAACTTCAGTTATTTAATTTCAATTTAATTATACACGAGTCTTTTGAGTTTAATATCAAGCTATTATATCCAATTCGCACGAGTTGTTAAACCCATATCCTTTATGGTAAAAAAATATCTTCCTTCTGCAGAAAAAATTTATTCACATGAGGCTGACATTAGGATTTTCTTTGGAAGAATATATGATATATGAATGGTGTCATCCAACTAAATAATGCAAAGTTTGGTGACTATGTTGAACGCATCTATTCCTTCGAACTTGAAATAACGGATACAACAGTTAAGTCTCCCGCATGTCTTGACTTGCATCTAGAAATTGACAATGAGGATCGGTTGAAAACAAAACTTTACGACAAAAGAGATAATGGGCCTGGCAGCCTCCCAATTGTGAACTTTTCATTTCTATGTAGCAACATTCCAGCAGCGCCTGCATATGTAGTAGATATCCCCCAGTTGAAACGATATTCCAGAGCTTGAATTTCTTATCATCATTTTCTTGATAGAGGGTCGATGCCTATAAGAAAGCTATTAAACCAAGAGTTTTAAGTGGTGAAGATAAATCATTTACGGAAACCATCACGAGTTGGTTGACCGTTATGAAATATCAGTTTCACAGATTACGACGGATATCTTTCAATTGTAACCACAATCCCGTCATCTTTTCGTCGTTGACTGTGACCTACCAAATTGGACTTCTCATCGGGCTTATACTTATATGAGCAACACGGCGGGTGCCACATTTAGAGTAGGATCTGCTTGCCCTTCCGGAGTATCTGAGATCAACCCTGGTTTTTTGTAGGGTTCGTCTTGCTCAGTCAATAGTTTTCTATGTTGAGTTTTGTAGACCATTGTTTGTCTTTTGGACGTTTTTCGGGTTTTGCCATGGCATTATCAGTTCGTTTTCGACTTATTATATTGACTTTCCTTTCACATCTTCTGCCTCTCTTTTACATTAAAGTATTATTAAGACTATGCTTTTTACAAAATATTCGGTGGCAAACTGTTGCTTTACATATATTTGTAAACATTGTCAACTGGTGTTCAGTTCTAAAAACAACCTACATGCTGTAACATTATACCATAAAAATCTTAAAATATTGTTCATATACTTATACTCTCCTTTTCTTCAATGTTATGCTAAGAAAAATTAATTTCGTTTAGAATGCAATGTTTTTTAGAGAAGATTTTTTTTTAATTTTAGTACATTAAAATAAATATAACAACTTATTTCAATTGATCAAGTTTTATTAACGTTGCTAGCTTTGGTTGCTAACAACTGACATAGTCAATGCAGGGTGCGATCATTAACTTAGCAACAAAGACTATCAAACTAAATAACTTCATATTCGTCTATACGAAGCTTGCTTATATGAGCAAAATTTAATGAAGCATGTATTTGCATGCTGATGAACGATATCAGTATGTACTAGTTTCTATACTACATGTATAATCATAAGCAGCTGTGTGTGTGTGTGCACTTTACTCATTACAGTATATTATAGTTTAGTTAATATAATACATCATTTCCTATACATTTACCTAAATTTTAAAAATGTCACGTTACTGTACATGGTGAGAATTCTATTGTGTGATAATATAATTTACATATATTCATATACTGACATGTAAATATGTAAATCATCCTATTTGTATCTTAA